CATCTACAAACAGTACAATTTTCAAACATTATGCAGCTGTGTAATGAATACCCAATTGATCAAACTCAGGATCTTGGATGCAATCAAGTCCATGAGTGAATACTGTAGGTCTTTCTCATTGCCAATGGATTTCCCATGAAGGTGATCATCTAGGTGGTATTTTGTGGTAGGTAGTAATTTGTAGGCATGACGAGTGCAGTGTCTCCCAGACAAGTCGCTTAATGGTATCATAGCTCACCCTTGCTAGGTATGGTCTTACACTGTCATGTAGGTACAGCACACTCTTACAATTAACCAGTGTTAGCACCTTCTACTGCAGCAATTCTGCTTCTGTTTCAACTGCTGCAAATAAGGATCTTCAAAAATGATGTGACCTAGCGGTAGTAGCTCGAAATGACGACTAGTTCACCAGACTCAGATCACAATTTTGCATGGGTGCAGAGGTGATCTTGATGCATGAGGTGCAGAGTCACAGGGAGACAGCCAATGTCTGGTATGCTAGGGTGTTACTATGTTACTACAAGGGCAACTGGGGAAGGCGACTCAACTTCCCCAGTTGATGATTCAGCCATAAAGCCTTTAGAGGCCAGCTTGACAAAACAAACACGAACTGAAAAAAAAAAAAAAAAAAAAAAAAAAAAAAAAAAAAAAAAAAAAAAAAAAAAAAAAAAAAAAAAAAAAAAAAAAAAAAAAAAAAAAAAAAAAAAAAAAAAGAGGAATAAACAGTTCAACAGGTATGCTAGGGTGTATCAAAATGGACCCATTTCATGTCATTTATGAGCACTCAACCAAATATGGTGAGTTGTAGTGCCGAGACAGCAATGACAAACCGGCTGTCATTCATTGTTCCTTGTTGGCTCCTGATAATTAGTGGGGTTCCAGCTTACTAAACTCTGTATGGTGCAGGTGAAATCCGACAATTTCCTTGGAAACCCGGAAGTGTTCAGCAAGCTCACATAACATTTCATTGCTGTTCTACTGCCTTCAGGGCCTTCTCATCCAACACATGCGGTTGCCCACTGTGGGGTTCATTACCTGACCCGAACATATGGAACCAACACTTCACAGTGCATTCATTCATGCCATTTTCACAAATACAGTGTATTTCCGTGTATATGCCGAGGATTTTCGGAGCTTTTTCTTAAAGCTAAATTATGGGGGCCGGCTTATACACAGATCTGCTAGTGTTGTAAAAACACATGTACTTTTCTGTTAGCCGAGTGGGACTGATAAATCACTAAATATTGCAAATTTTTATTTTTCAACTTTATGAAAAAATTAAATTAAATGAGTTAGTTTTATGAAAATGAATTGTTTTAATTTCAAAGTTTGCTTACAATGCTGGTTTGTTGTTGCTTACATCGCTTTTCCAGTATAGGAGTCATCTCGCTTCCTTTCTGAGAAGCCCTTCATCTAATGGGACACCAAATACTTCAAAATCTTTGTTACCTTCTAAAATATCCTTATCACATAGCAAAACATAAAGCTGGCTGTTTCTAACAACAGTGAACACACAGTGACATCACACAGTGAACAATAAACTGTATGCAAGTTCAAATATTGTCTATCCTGCACATCAAAACTTAAAAAACTGGGGAAATTTCAAAATGGATATTAATGGCAAATTTTTCAACAGATGATACCTTTTTATATACAAGTAACATATCACTTCAAATTTCAATTGCAGTTTATGCTGCTAGCTTTAAAAAGCACTCATCAGGTGCAATATGGAGATGAATTGTCCCCAAGCAGGATGAATGTTAATGATCAAGCATTAATTCGCAGCACATAAATTTTATTGCTCTATCTTTCTCATTGGTGACTATAATATTTTATTTCGACTTCTTCCTTTTTATCAAAACTCAAAAGAAACAATTGGCCATTTAATTTCTTATTGTGAATGTTTTTAGTCTCTTGAAATCAAGATATCAAGCAGAGAATCATTTTGTTAGGTTCACAAACATTAGGAAAGGTTCCTTTAAATGCTTCAACAACTTTTCCAGACAAATACGATGTGAAGTAACGTTCAGTTACAAAAATTCATTCGGCTTGTCAAAAACTCACCTCCATCTTGTACCAAATAAATGGTTTTTGAAGCCACAGTATAAACATCTACTGAAAATTCAAGAGACATATATTACTTATTTCAAGATTATATGGGTGTGATGTATAAACTATTCGCCATCAATATCCATTTTGGAATTTACCCAATATTTGAAAGTTTTATTTGCATAACTTTTGGATCACCCTGTATAATTATTAAGTAATGAACAGATCTAATTACCAGCTTTTAAAGGTGCTAAGACTCTTCTTTCATTTTTGCGGTTTGTATGTGTATGGTTTCAGTAATTTTTCTGATAATTAGGTTTCCTTTTGTTACTTTTCTATTAATATTTACTACTTTTCTATTCTATTAGTCTACTGTTACTAGCACTTTCTAACTATTCTGAAAATTCAGTTGCACCAGAAATATGCACATTTGGTGGAAAGTAGGAAGCTTTAATTCACTGTTATTATTCAAATGACAGCTTTTGTTTCCTTCCCACTAAGGTGCTAATTTAAATGACAGCTTCTATTTCCTTCCCACTAAGGTCTTAATGTCCCCTAGTTTCTGGTCATTTGTGACTGGGCACATCTGATAACAGGAAAACTTTTGCTAAATCTGCAGTTACTTCAGTTACTTATTCTTTCATTTTTAATACATTTAAACAAAGTTGAATAATTCCTTTTTTAAATATATATGTATATATAAAGAATATAGGAAATTACTGAGCATTTTTTAGAGGTTTTTTAAGGACTTCGTTTTACAAAATTTTGGAAAATTTTTTGACATTTAAAATTTTGCTTTAAAACTTAAATTTTAAAACATTTCATTTTTACTTAATTACTTTAATTATTTGCCTTGCAATATTTACACAATTTTTTAAACAGAAACACACATTGAACACACATTACATTACAAACAGTTTATATTATTAATTCACAATACCACTTAACTCTATTTTTACTTCAAGCAAACTTACCTCTCTTGATTGGCTTAACTCCCTAAATAATTTATCATTAAAATTAAAACTTGAATTACATACCTTTAGGATTTTTAATTTTTAATTTTTTTAGATTTATTTTTATATATTTTAATATTAATGTTTGCAAAAAATTTTTAACATAACAAAGTTAGCAGCTTGGCACTCAACTTTACCTACATAAGCGCCATCTATATAATTAATTTGAAGAACACACTTACTTCTTTTTAAAAACACTTTTGCAGACCCCAACACTCATTTAGTAGGTAAGTTAGAATTAAAACTTACTATTTACTTGCTTTAAGTATTTTTTTTTTTTAAATTTTTTATGTAGTATTTTTAGTATTTTCTAGATATGAAATTATATTTTTAAATATACATTTGTTTTTTAAAAAATTGTGAATTAGTTCTTTATGTTTTCTTATTGGTTTATATGGATTATGTCTAGTTCTTTGTTAGTTTCTTTTTATTGATATGCATATCGTGTCGGGGAGGTTTCTGTAGTTTCTGTAGACAAGGGTTTCTAAAATACATTAGTTTCTAGATTATTTTTTATAAAAAATTAATTTTTTAAAAAATTTAATTTTTTTTTAAAGTTTAATTTAATACTTGACTTTACTTGCTTAAAGACTTCATTTTTAAAACTTTAATTCTTAAATGCTAATTTCTAAGGGTACCACTTTATTGGTATATCTTTTTGGACATTCTTCACTTTTTACTTTTGGTTTTGACTTTTACCCTTGCCTGCATGAATGACGAAACACGAATTGAATGATTGGAGAGTTAGGTTTGGAGGCAACTTCCCCTTGATAAGTCTGTCTCCTGCCTGCTCAACAGTCATTCACTTATGCATTTTAAAAAAAAAAAATGTTTGGATTAATTTTAATTTGCTAAATTAGTTAATTTATTTTCATGGATTGGTTTTGCACTTGATTTGCTTATGCTTCTGAATTTAAATGATCTTGTAGATTAGTTCGAGAATTAAATCTTTTAAATCTTTTATATGTTTGCACATTTTTTAAATTTTTTTTAGCTTTAAATTTGCTTTTTTATTTTTATACGTGTTTGTTAAAATTTAAATTTAATTAGTTTAAATTTAAACTAACTTATATTTGCATATCCTTTTAAGCCTCATTTTTAATTTGGTTACTTCCCTGTCTTGTTAACATGTGCTCCAGTGCTTCTCATGCTTACTTTAAACATATTGATATAAATATGCAAAAGTACAAAATTATTGAAGAATGGGTAAGCATATTATGTCAGTTTAATGGTAAATATTAAGAACATTTTTATAAAGAGTAAAGAAGTGTTCGACCAGTCATGATTGAAGCTAGACTTTTATGCATCCATATACATAAACTCTAGCAAGTTCTATATGAGCCACATCTAAAGTTATCATTACAAAGAATAAAGTTGACAGATTGTGAACCTTTGAAGTATCTATTCAGTTCTTCAAAGTGATGTGATTAATTTTCAAATCTACATCCTTCAGATGTCATTAGGTTCAGAGAAAAAAATTACATTCAAACCATTCTGTCAAGTCTCTTGCCATGCTTAAACTCAAGTAGTGTTGTTACATCTTGATCTGTGCTTGCCAAAACCAAACATCTCAATTCAATTTATTGCAGTTATCCTGTTTTGTTGATAAAGAAAAGAAAGATCATTTCAATTCACTTATCAAAATTGATTTTATGTTTGATTATATTTATTATTGGATATAACCAGGGCTGATCCTAGTGAAGGAAAAGATGGTGCACAGCACATGGGTGGCCAAACTCAAGGGTTGCAAAATGATTATCAAACATATATTTTTGTAAAAAAGGGGTGGAGAAATTACATTTGCAATTTTGCACATGGGATGCATATGTAATAAAAGTGTCTTTATAAGAGTATATTTTATGACAAAACTGCTTGATTTTTGAATTAACATCAGCAAATAACAAGTTGTTAAAAATAACAAATCTTAAAAGTACCAACCTCTACAGCAACTGCAACTAATAACCATGATGAAAGTGACATATCTGGAGCATAAGATCTAATAATTGGTGACATACTGATTAGGGCACAATTACTCATCACAGCTAGTAAACTTAGCACCTCAAAGGCAACCTATAAAAATGCATTAAAGGAATCATTATCATCACTAAATTTATTAAAAAAATAAGAGAACAAATGAAAATTTTAATAAAGAATATAAATTAATAATTAGAAAAATACAAATTTCTAAGGATTACAATCATAAATATTAAAATCAGAGTTAAAATATAAGTTTCATATGGGGAAAGCATTTGTGCCATATACTAATTTATTCAGCTTAAAATATTAACATTATTCTGAACTAATACCCTAGTTCAATTATGTTAAATACACTGAACATATACCACTTAAAAATCAAATCAGAAGAATAGGAAGCTATGTTATGATGAAGTACTATCTTTGTAAAGTAAGGATAGCACTCAAATCATGAATTAATTTGACCTGAATTTCATAGGAGACTAGTTATTATAACAGTAAACTAAGACTGATTCCTATTAAATCAAACAGCTTTACCCTTAGAAAACCTCAATACATAGTGCCTGGACACTTTTGGCTATTTAGTGTACAGTCTAACATTCTTTCTAATCTAACTGTGGACTCAAAATACAGTCATACATAAAATAATAACTGTATTTTATGGACTTAACATACATAAAATACAGTCATGCACATCTTTTGTGTTCTTTATCTTTTACCCTTAATTACAGCTTTAAACTTAAATTTTTCCAATATATTATCAATTAATGTGTATACAACATTGATATGATTCATATTTTTGAGGTATAATATATATCTTACTGAAAGCTACATATAGAAATCTACAGAAAGTTTTTTTATCATAGCTGATAGATAAAATGCAGCTTTAGTTTATAAGTGATTACATATTAAACTTATAATTTTTCTTCTGTATATTTTAAAAGAAAAGCCACAGTTATTTGATTACAAATATAACTTAAATTTCACTCAAAACTGCAAAATTTACTAAAGTTTTTGAGTGCATGTAATGGAATAATTTAGGCCAAAGGTTGCATACGAAAAAGAAAAACATGTTAAAAACAATAAAACCTTACATGGAAAATGCTAAATATGTATCAGTGAGATACAGCAATGATAAATGGATTAACATGACACCAAAATAAAAATGTATACTTCAAAACTAATTGATCATGAAAATATTTGGAACATACACTGTGCAAATGCATTTTCTTATAATGAGAGTTGAGCACACTGTAATTGTAACTCAAGCATGCAACTGCAATTACATTGTAATTGTAATTAGATTATGCAATTACTTTGTAATTACAATGTAATAGCAGTTAAACAGTAATCATAATTACATAATAATTGTTAAATTTAACTACAATTATAAAGTAACTGCTATCACATTGCAATTAAAAACAAAACAATTGCATAATCCAATTACAGAGTAATTGTGAAATCTAATTACAGTTAAAAATTAATTATATAATCTAATTACATTGCAGTTATATAATCTAATTACAGTTACAATGTAACTGTGATTGTAATTGCAATCATAATTTTAACTGCAGTAAGTAATTATAATTAAATAATTAGGAAAGTAATTGCCCCTGATAATTTCTGCTACATAGCTTAGGGAAATCATGATCATAAATGAAAATTACAGTATATGAGAGTTTACCAAGAAAATGAGTTTTTTAATTTTTAACAATACAATGGGAAAATCGCCTACGAGAAAAATATTAGTACTTTCCATCTGGAATCATTCTGCTTAGCTTCTGCATCTACTGCAGCTTGTAACAACAATAAAAATTATTAACTTATCCTTTGTTAAATACTAGACATTTTTTCACTACATATGTAAATGTTCGCCAGCAGTTATATGGATTAAGCGAAAGACCACATGCCTATGGAAAGGAAGGCCTTTGGGAAAAACTGTTAAGGAAACTGGACTTTCTTTTAAATATTACACAGGAAACAAATCATGAAAACTTGATTCCTTTTTCCCATTTTAACAATGAATGCATAACAGGGTTAAGTTTCATAACCTTATCTAAATGAATTTTTGTTGGCCTTAGTTGGTAGAAAATGACTGATGCATCATCATACTGCTTAACTGCTACGTGTACTAAAATTTTCAGTAACAGTACTGACTGTGATGTAGTTTATTATTAAACACAACATATTTTCAATAAATAGTTAAAAAAAAACATTTGCGTATAAGTAAATTTACCTGTATGATCTATTTTTCAGATCTTCAGGTAAAAATAAACTAGCACAATTTTGTTAAGTGCACTGTAGATGTATTCCACCAGAAAGTTAGGTTATATGGATTATGGCATAGTACACAAAGGTTATTTACCAAAGGTGAGAGATGATTTTGTGGAAGTCTTTCTAAGGAACAAGAGCAGGTATTCACATTACAGAGGGGAAAATCATGAAAAGGCTCATCCAGCCAGTCCATTTGCAGAGATTTAACTTTCTGAAGCCGGCTGGTACAGCAGTTGTACCAGGAAAATGACCTTCCTTAACACCGGCTCTGGTACAACTGTCGTACCACCCATTCCCTCCCTATTTTAGAGAATCGCCTATCTGTAGATCTCAGGGGGTCCATTGTCTCTGCTCAGAATAGCTGCTGGCTACGCATTATTTCCCTCTTCTTATCAGTTTGGCTACATTTTGGCAAAAACCACAGGTTTCATTTCGCGCCAATATACTTGAAAATCAAATAGAGGCCATCTCTAATTTTTTTAGTACTGACTCTTGCTATGATTAAACGTCAGCGATTTTGCGCGCTGTTTAAGCTTACCAGATTTAATGCTTTTTAATCATAGCAAATAAGAAGAGATTAATTTTTTTAGATTTATTGCCCTTCTAGAAAATAGCTAAAACTGTTTTTTCGTTACTTCATTTTTATACTTATGAATAATAAGATTTTATTTTGAAATTTTTTTGGGAGTGCATAAAACCCTTAAGAACTGTTAACTCTTTCAAAGTGCTTCTATTATATAGGCAATTTTGTCTGATTTATCAAGAGATAAATATGAGACAATTGAATGCATAATAGTTTTTGTGATTTTCATTCATTCAATGATTTCATTCAATGATTGCTTTCAATGATTTACATTGATTGTAAATTAAATAAAATCAATTTATCTTTAAACCCTCTTTTAGAATGAGATATGTCAAAAAGTGTTTAAATATCAGTAAAGGTCACGTTACTTCTAAATTGAATCAAAACATCAGTTACATTGCATAAAATTTTGGCCAGCTTTATTTGCTGAAATTCTTATACTTTTCAAGAGATAAAAGGAATTCAGACAAGTTAATAAAAAAAAGATCTTTAAAAAAGCTTGCTATTTTGTCTGTGATAAGGTGTATGTCAACTTACTATTAAATGTATGAGAATTAGGATTGGATTACGGAAAAGCACGCAAACGTTATCTGCTTAAGGTGATGGATGCTTTCGTGTAAACCTTTTTTAAGAGAAAATTGCTCACATTTACGTTCCTGGTTGAAAATTCCGCATGTAATCAACCCGTTCTTCGGGTTTGATTGGATTAATTTTGTTCGCTTACTGAATTACATCAAAGCACACAACAATTACCTGTATAAGGGGAGGGATGCCTTCGCAGAGGACTTTCTAAGGGAAGCTGGCTTGCATTTACGTTACACAAAAACCATGAATCCAACTCTTTAGCCTGGATTCAAACCCGAGTGAGCTACAAATGTTCAGCCACCTTTACTGCTCTACTGAAGGGCCCATAAAAAAACTGATAAAGAAAAAGTATTGAAATAACCGGTTTAATTTACTAACCTATATTTTTCAATCGACAGTCCACAAATTATGCATATCAGGAGATTATTTATGAATAAAAAAACTGTACTGAACTTTTCTCCACTATTTCATATTACAATGGAATTATTGAATTTCAAAGTTATTTCTCATGAATTAATTTTGCTACATTCATGATTTTTTATACTTTCAAAGAGAAAATTTCACACTTTAAATAAAAATATACACTTTATGCAAAATTTGGCGTAAACGGTTTTCTTAATTTTGCTTTAAAAATATTCCAGGGTAATCGTTTTCATTACTAAAAGAAATATGAAAAACAGATTTACTACATTGTAAGTGTCAAACCAGTTGTCTTTTTGAAACAAAAGATACTCTTTCTAAAAAACTGAAAAATATGACAAATAGAATATCTGAAGAAAAGACTTATCATATTCAATATTCAAAAAAAATAGGATCACAAGAGTGATATCCCTGTATCTCGCATTTTTCAAATATTTTAAAAATTTTGGTATACAATTTATGATATGTATGATACTTTTTAATATTCAAAAGTATTTTATTTTCAAAAATCTTAATTGTATTCAATATTTTATAACATTAATTTTGCAGTTGAAATAAGTGGGTTAAAATTTGTCCCACCACACACTTGAATTTCCGCTCAATAGATGGCAGCACTCACGATTATTTTTCTTTTCTTTTTAGCATCTACTTTTTTCGTGATTGCGCGCGTTTTTACATCCATTGTATGCTCTGATGTGCTAAAATGTCTAGAAAAAAAAATTAACAACTCAGGAAGCTTTGGACCTTTTTGCTGAATTCCCATCCGATTGCGACTCAAATGCTTCAGATGTCAGTTCTGATTAGATGAAATTGAAATCCAAGAGAGAATAACTGAGGTTGAAGTTATTGCTGAAGAAGAAAGGGAAGTAGTTATAATTTGTTTCGCTTTTTAAAGACACAGAGCATCTATGCATGTGGCACTGTAAATATGAATCGGAAGTATCTACCCAAAAATTTAAAAGAAGACAAATTTATGTCGAGAGAACATATAGACTTTTCAGTTAGCGATGATTCAATTTATTGCATAAAATGGAAGGATAAAAGATCCGTTTCCTATCCTGTCTTGCTTGGAAAAGGCAACTGAAATGAAAGAAATTAATAGAAAAGAAAGAACGAGATGGAAAGACAAAAAAAAAAAAAAAAAAGTACTGTGCCCAAACAGCATTATTTCATACAATAAGAATATGGGATATGTCGACTGATTGATCAACTGAAAGGACTATATGAAATAGACCGCAAAAGCAAGAAATGGTGGCACATGATTTTTTTTTTTTTTTTTACTTTTTAGATGCGAGTATAGTAAACACATTTATTCATTTAGTTTGTTCGCGAACCTGATCATGATGTAAAAACAATGAAAGATTTTCTTCTCTCAGTTACAGAAGGTCTAATGGCACTTGCAGGCAAGAAAGAGCTGAAAAGAAAACTGAAATCCCCAGTTCAAATAAAAACTAAAAAACCCGTTCGTACAACCAGAAAAGAGACTAAAAAATGTAAGTAAAACGCCAAAGAGAACGAGCAGGAGAAGATGTGCATATTGCAGCATATCGAAAGAAGAAACGACGAACATTTTGCATGTGTGAAACATGTGAAGTGCCTCTATGCTTACAAAAGAATGAAACAACATGTTTTTCAAAGTTTCATGAAAAATGACTTTTTTTTCAATTTTAATCATATATAAATGTTTTTGAATCAAGTGCCAATTTTAATATTTTATTTAGTATCATATGTACGAGTATCAAATTTTAATCTTAAAATAATATTCAAGAAAATATTTTCTTTTGTTCCTAAAATTTAAAAATATAAATATGCATATGCAAAATTTTACAGTCAAATATGCAATAAGTACAAAATGCATTTTAGTGTGTTTATTATGAATATTTTAGAATGCACGCTTTATTTTGTTTATTCATTCCACATATGATTTTTTTCCTGCTATACACCACTATGCTATAAGACGTGCTAGTTGTATGGTGGGACAAATGGTATCCCACCTTCCTCCTTAAAAAATAAAAGCGCAGAATTTTTTTCAAGCTTGAATGGCACTTAAGTAAGTCCATTTGACTTATTCTAACGCATTTCTTTAAAGATTAAAATATATTTTAAATATGCGTGTCACAAAGGGTTAAAAGAACTGCAGACAAAATGAAGTGTACAGAAAAAAATAACATGCCATGTCAAAATCCAAAGTCAGATATCTAAGAAAATTTTACTATAAAGTGCTTATCAAAAATGCTACTAACAAGTGTATGAAATTGAAAATACAATTAAAAAACTATTGATGAACTGTTCAAAACAAGCACGGATAGAACAATTATTTGCAAAAGTTAAAAATTTCCTCAAGTACGCTATAAAATTATTTTAATAAACTGTTAAAAAAAGAATTTCAAAATTGCATAAACAGTTTAATTTTGTATTAATTTTTAATTATTATTTTAGGATTAATTAATGAATTATGTGTTAGTTATTTTGCTTGAAAACAGATATCACTGTTTCCAATATACAAACTGCCATTTATTAAAATCAGACCATAATAAATTCAAATATGTTTAGAACAGAAATTATTTTAATAAGTGGTGGGTACTGTGCATTGTAATCAAATTAAATGCAATTACAATTACAGTGTAAAGGTACGATTATAATACAATTAATTACACAGTATTTTAATAAATTGTAATTGCATGGTTTAGAATTACAACTACACTTTAATTGAAAGATTTCAAATTCCAATTACATTGTAACTGTTTTAATTGTAATTGCAGCTGAAGCTACACTGTAATTACAAATATTAACAGTTCAATTACAATGCAACTGAGTTACACTGTTATTGAATTACTTATAACTGCAATTCAGTTATTAATCAGTTACACTGTAACTGAATTATACCCAACCCTGCTTATAATTTATGCTAAATTACCATGTTAGCTTAAAAATTCTTAAAGGGCCGTGAAAACAGTTAATGAAAAAAATGGATATTATATTTTTTAAATTAATGACAGCAAAATATTGCTGTAATGGACATTCTACATTTTTGAATCAGTCAACATGCCAGTTCATTTGAATGAAACTGCAGTTTTTAATTATCAAGTTTAAAATAATGTAATTAGCAAAAATAAGACATTTCCATTATTCCAATATTAAAAATATTCTTGAGGATTTCAAAAATTCTTTAAGAAAAAATTTTAAAGAAATATTATAAATTAAACAAACCTGCCAAACACCAATTCCTTTAATAGGACGAGCTTGAGGTCGCTGGTAAGAATAACAAAGCTTGAAACCATCCATCCATATTTCAACAATATTATTTAGTATTGCAAGAGTAGCAGCAAGAGGGAAAACAGAAGAAAATAGAAACACATATCCAAACTGTGTAAACATTTCTAAATAGTCATCATATGTTCCCTATAAATAGAAAACGATATCACATACACCAGAACAATCAAACAAGAGAGGAGTGAAAAATGAATGGAAATAATACATACTTAAAACTTTATTATTAGACAAATAGAACACACTGTGTAAGATTTCTATACTCTAGAACAGGGGTCTCCAAACTACAGCCCGAGGGCTAAATTTGGCCCATGAGCACTAACGATCTAGCCTGCCAGAGGTTTCATTAAAGTAATTTAATAAAATTTAAAGTAACAAATAATACACTTTAACTATTTTATATAATAGCTAATCTAGAAATGCATTGTCAATCATGCATCTTGTTTATAAAATATATTATAAACACTATACAACCGTTTCTACATTTAAAATCAGTGAAATACAGTAACACTCTGTATAAAAAATCTCATGTGAACACACGACTTCTTCATACGTCCTTTAAATTACACACATATTTTGACTTCTGATGCAGCTGATTGCTACCAAGAAGGGAGGTGCACAGCTATGTGTTATAGTAGTCCTATATACAAAATTTCAATGTTTTGAGGCTGCTTGTTTTTGAGTTATGCGAGATACATACATACATATGTACATACAGACGTAAAAAAAAACTCTCCTGAATGCATTTTAAACCCATTTTACATTACGTTTTGGAAAAAAAAAAAAAAAGAGTCCTGTATTCTGTCCGTAAGTATAGATGTCATGCCCCCAAAAAATCGTTCAAATGGATTCAAGAGCGGTCAAGATGGATGTTTTTGTTAAAATATGATATCTGAATTTTTTTTTAGATTATAATTCTTTACTTTGTACTAAGAAGTAAAAAATTCTCAATGTACTTTTTACAAGAATAAAGGTTTCATTTGTTATCTTTCCTACTTTCATAGTAGTTTTCTAAATTGGTTCATAGAAATTTTCAGTAGTGATTTTATTTAAATCTTAATTTTTGTTCTGCATATGTTGTAATTAATTTTAATTTTGGAGATTTTGTTTCACACAAAACTTGCCCAGAATATGAAATGAGCGAAAGTTTGCACCTGATCAATATGTAAACATAGTTAAGTCCCCTTATGACAACGAGGAGGTAGATCCATTGAAAAGTAAAGTACATAAACTGAAGAAATCTCTAATATTCTGGGACAAAAATATATTTTTACAAATGTTTAAAAACAGCTTTAAGAAATTTATGTTAGGAGAAACTACACGAAAGTCTAAAAAAACAAGGCTGTTCGTAAGATCATAGGCTATAAATCCAATCACAAAAATATCACTACCTTGGTTAAAAACATGTATCCTCTTCATCATAGTCGCAATGCTGTGGTTTAATGAATTAAATGAATCTTGGTCCTCGAAGCTTCATGAAAGAGCCAATATGGCCGTGGCTGAAAAGTTTGGAGACCCCTGCTCTACAAACTCTAAAATGCATTTAAATCCTAGGAATATGGGCACATTTGTTGTAATATGTAATTCGCTATCACTTAATTACTGCACCCCCCAACAAAAAAACTACAATTTAATATTTGCGAATTTTTATATTTCTTTTACATATATTAGAGATTTTTTAAGTGAGCAGTGTAGAATGAAAGATAATGCGTTTTCAACCAAAAAAAGTGATTATTTCCCATTTCAAAATATTAAAATTTAATCAATTTTTAACCACATAAGTAATGACCTTTTTTGAAAACATTAAGGTTTATGTTTTCAGTAATTACATATACCTATACTAATGTCTGTACTTGACCCAGGAATTGATGAAAATTAATAATTTTTTTGTTTGCTATTTTAAAACACTTTATTTACAGTGGGGTATAATAAAAATATGTGTTTTTGTGATAAAAAAATTCAGAAATTCATTTTAAGACCACCATCACTTTTTCCTATCAACTAAGTCTTAAATACCTCTGCTGAACTACATAAATGAATGAACATGGCCTTTCAATACCTTAACCTAGATTAGGAGCTTTTAAAGACAACGTTTTCTGAAAAAAATTGCCTTGAAAAATTTCATGGGATGGCTTTCAGTGGTGGTAAAATGGAATTTTTCTTCATTGCATATAAATACCGAAGAAACTGCAAAGAACATTTAACTGAATTTTTTCTACGCATAAAAAATGACTTGTATCTGTGCAGATGATTCAGTGAATATAGTTCTAGCTCAGCAATTTCCTATCAGTAGTGGAAACACAACAACTTGAAAACACTGATTTCACCCAAATTCGGTATTGGCAAAAACTTTATATAGCAAATATATTATATAAATAGCAAGTTTATTATGTGAACTGAAGGCACACAACTCTTAAATGTAAACAAGAAACAAACCAAAGTTACACATTATCTTTACAATGATTTGAATACTTTTTCCGGAATTTTGTTCTTAGCAGATAAAAGGTATATTTGCTAGTAAATGTTATAACTGTTAAAAGCTACATTTCATCAGTAAATTTGCAAATAATTAGAAAACCCTACAAAAATTTCTATGCTCTCTAAAAGCGAAAAGAAATAAATAAATAAAATGTGTTAAGCAGTTTCTCATAGAGCAAAACACATATAAAAAGATAAACAAATCTTGATTGTAACACAAATTCCTTTCTTTTATTTTCTTATGACAGAATCCTTTTGCAAAAAGTGCCATTACTGGGAATAACATACCCACAAAAACAAATTTCTTTCACCCAGAGGGAATGAAAGAAAAAAAAATCTGGAATGAATAGTGAAGGATCCACAGTAGGATACTAAACTCAGAAACAATAATTAGAAATTACAAATTTCCACAAAATATTAATTCAATTTTATATAAGAGAATAAGATTTCAAAAAGTTTTTCTAATAAAATTTGAACCTCATTTTCAGGTGTTTCAGCAATATCTAGCAGCATCTGTCTAAACAAGCTTAGGATAAACAATATCGAGGATATATATCTATTGAATTGGTGTATTTAATTATGGCAAAGCACACGAGGGCTATCTGCCTAAAGGGAGGGATGCCTTTCGTGGAGGACTTTCTAAGGGAAACTGGCTCGTATACACGTTACACATGGGGAAAACCACGAAAACGCCCATGCAGCCAGCCCGTTCGCGGGATTCGAACCTCAGATATATATATATCTATTGAAATAAACGTTAAAAAATACCACAGTTTTCTGTTGCAGTCTCTGCTGGCCATGTCAGCTTCCATCCAGATGTGCTCAATCGACAAAAGATCAGACAAGACAGAAGGTGCAACATGCTGCTTGTACTGGAATGCCGGATTTTGCATATGATGCCCACTACTGGTATGTTCACCAGTGTGTTACCTGCGTTTAAAAATTTGATTTTCCTTTCAAGTACTTTTAGTGCAGTCTAACTAGTAACTAGTATGGGAAAAGAGGTGCTTAAGGCTTCCTACACAGGGTGTACCGTAAATGTTGCAACAAACTTCTAGGGGAGGTAGGGAACATCATAAGGATTAAGAATTGCATAGGAACCCATGCCCCGAAATGTCAAGGGTAAGTGGTAGCAGAAGTAGAAGAAGATGGGAAAAGAGTGATTAATTTGAAACATTTATTGGACATGAATACAAATGGTGTACAGCAGCTTGAATGTTATAACAGATGCTCGATGTTTGCACCATCAGACGCCAAACATGCCTGACACCAACCGGACCATTTGAATGCTGCGAATTATTTTATCTTTCTGGAGCAGGTTCTTCCCAACTTGCTTGATGGTGTTCACAAAATGTGAGGCACAACATGTGATTCCAACATGATGGGGCACCTGCTCGTTTTGGACTGGATGTTCATAGCCATTTGAACAGATCACTTCCTGCATCGATGGCTTGGGTGTGGTAGAACCGGTTCTCTGCCCTCCTCCACGCTCACAGGATTTGTCAAGCCTTGATTTCTTTTTGTGGGGAGCCATAAAAAAATGTCATGTATCACGATCCTATTGTGTCTGACATGGACCTCATGGCAAGACTTGCCTGTGCAGCTGTTACAATCAAAGAAACTCCCGGTGTGTTTGAACATGTTTGGCAATAATTTGTTCATCGGTGTCAGGCATGTTTGGCATCTGATGGTGCAAACTTTGAGCATCTGTTGTAACATTCAAGCTGTCGAAACACAATTTGTATTCATGACCAATAAATGTTTAAAATTAATCATTGTCTTGTTTCCTTTCCCATCTTCTACCCCTGACATTTCCGGGAATAAGTTTTCCTATGCAATTCTCAATCCTTATGATATGCCCTAGCTCCTATAAAAGTTTGTCACAACATTTACGGCACAACCTGTATATGTGTTAAATAGCCAAAACATCAAGCAAACTGAAATGAATGCTTCTTGAGTTAATTCACAATTATCTGTCAACCCATTAACCGCCACAACTACAAGGAATGATTTTTTTTTCTCATGAAAATAATAACAAATATTAAATTAAGCATTTATAACATACACTTACATGGAGAATTTTAAAAAAATGCTCTTACCTGCAGAAAAAGCAAGTGTTGCATTCGCGCAACGTCAGCGGAATAAGACTACGGATGTTTAGTGAATAATATCGAACTTATGCAATGTTTCCTTTGAGTGGAGCACTAGATTACCTTTTAGCTGTATAACGTTTTAAATCTACAAATCACTTTACTTGTAATATATTTAATATTAAAATATACATTATATTTCTTTTACAAATACAGATTATTTCAATTGAAAGATTCAAGCATGAAAAGCTTCACTACAATCATGATGTAAATAAATCTATAAACATGTTATATCTATAAACAGTCTGGCTATGGCACTCTTTACTACAAAGTCTTTTGTTATCATCGAACTTCACGATAAAATGTCTGCCATCTCCATGCAGTGGTTTTTGAATACTGAATTTACTAGGTTTTCCTGTTGCTGATTTATTTCTGGCTAATTCTACACTCTCAATAGGAGTTTGCAAAGGGAATAATGCAATCTCACGCCTGAAATCTAAAAGAGACTTTTTATTTCCAGTAGTAGAAAGTCGTGATATTTAGCTACGGTCTCACCTTATATAATTTATCAGTATTGTCAGTTTGACTATTGTCAGCTAAATGCTAATTCTGCTTCATATTCCTGTACTACAAACGTGATATCGATTCTCATACAATAGGAACAGAAATGTCCTTATCAGGAGACCAATATATTTCTTCTTGAGGTAAAGAAGGATATCCTGTAAGCAATAATATTCCAATAAATCTTTCCATATAGGCTTCAAATGCAATAAAATTCTGGGAGATTTTTTTGCTTAGCGTATATATTTGTCTGTTCAACGAGAAGAGAGTAAATGTCTAAACCAAAACGAAAATCGAAAATCTCTCCACTAGTTTTACCTTCTATTTTGTCTTTTGTAGTTTCTCTTCTATCTCTCTTCCTGAAACATAACTGACGGTTCCTTTTTTATCAAGTTCAAGTTTTCAGTTTTCTGCTTTTTAAACTTTTTCGTATGACTACCACTGCTTTTAGAAGGCTGAAACTTATTTCTTATGTGAATTCCAATTTCCCCAGCAATATTATATGGTAAAATATCATTATCATTGTTTAAAACATTGTCATTCCCTTCTTCTTCATCACTAGCTCCTGCAATTACTGGGGGAACAACAACAATATCAGTTTCATCCTGGTCATTATTAACATTATCATCATCTGTTTCTTCATCAAAAAATCTTTAAAAGGCTTCTTTTAATGTAAGATACCTCGTTATAGACATTTTTAAAGCAGCCAGAACATGAACCAGGACATCGAAAGGAATGAGTAAAAAAAAAAAAAAAAAAAAGATTACCCGTTTCCTGCTGACGTTGCGTCAGTGCAACACCTGTTTTCTTTTCCTTCCCATCACAAATATAAACATCTGATTGATGTAATGTTTTGATAAATGGTGAACTTGACTAAAAATAGATCACTCATAAAGACGGCGATTCTTTCGTTAAATATTTTCGGCAAAAATACCTGGTCAAAAATTTTGCTTAAAGTATGAGATTAATTATTATAAATAAAATGATTGTTGAAGGCAAATATTTTTTTACAATCTTCATAATATTCCCTACACAAAATCCTCTGCTGGTATAAAATATCTTTAGGTAGTTATATTTATATACGCATTTATTTTGACCGTTGTGTCAACGCAACACCAGCGGCTAATGGGTTAATAAATATTGAAAACATTTGCTAATATCTGAGCTCACAATAACAATAAATGCACGTGTGAAAATTTTTCCAAATGAAAATATTTTGATAAAAATTGATTAAATTGCTCCAGAAAGTTCAAGTAAAGGTAAGTGATTAACAGAAAATAAAGAGAGTCAAGTTTTAGATCCCAAGAAGTTTATGTTAAGTTTAATATCAAGAATGTATTCAATATTCTAAGTACAATTAAGATATTTTAATATGGGCAAGAGTAAAATACATATAATTTTGAATATTTACTGATGCATGGCAGCTTTTTTAATTATTTCAAAATTTCATCGTTATCATGACATTAAATTCAGAATTATTGAAATTTTTCTTAATTTTCATTCAAGATTTAATTTGCTACCACAAACTCAATTAGTTTGGATATACTGAGAATTTATCGATTACAAGATCTGCAGATTAAATTACTCATTACTTTCTTTATAACTGACTTTTATTGTAGGAACAAAAAGTCAAGTCCTGACTGAATTTTAGATGTAATTATATCTGCTGTCTGATGATATTTCCATTCAAGTTTGATTGAAATGGGAGCATATTTCCTACTCTAATGTTGTCTTTGCACTGTTTTATTGCATTTTCATTTCTATATATTGGTATCAATTCCAGTTAATTTCAATACTACAAATAAAGAATCTGCATTTATCAAATTAATAAGATTCTGATCAGTTTGCTTTAGAAAATTCTGCAGCATCATTACTTACAGTGCATGCACAATACTACTCTAACAGTATTCTACAAACTATATAGATATACACTAACAATATTCAATCCCATCTTTCTCATATTTCCTTTGAAACATGGAGAAAACCATGAAAATGGCCGTGCAGCCATCCATCCGCTAGGATTTGAACCCTGGACCAAACAACCAGCATTCAGTAGCTTGTCTGCTGGTTGACTTTAATAAGTTTCCATGTACACACATACATACACACATAACAGATTCTTAGCATAAAGTTTCCAAAGCGATAAGAGAGGGGAAATCTAGAAATAACTCTATCTAGTTTTAGTTTTCACATTAATCCATTCCCTAGAAAGCTGTAGACTGCATGTTCTTAAATTACTAATGCCGGCATAAACTTCCAGTGAAAATGACAGTCTTCTACTGAAACTAATTACTTGTCACCAAAATTTCCATTATACTAACTTATTCACAGTGCAGTTCAAAGGTAACAAAACTGCTTATTTTGTATATGAAAATGACTAAGCAGCAGACTAAATTGAAATGATATGGAGTTAACACTCCTCTTATGCTTATAATAAGTGTATGCTGATAAGTATTAGTCTATGTTTATTAAAATTTAAATATATAACTAAACTGCTAAAATCAGAAAAAAACAAACTACTTTTTTGTAATTTTACAGCACAGAAAACTTTCCATCGCCCCAAGTATTTTTTATTTACTTATCTCATTATAAGCACTTATTCTTGAAATAGTTCTGAGGAAATTTTAAGCAGTTTCTTAGTGTGACAGACTGGATTTTTTTAACTGTGGCAAAGCCTACCACACACAATGCATGACTTTGTGGATCTACTTCATAGGAAAAACTGCAATTATGAAAATGCTGACCCAAATCTTTTCTTATCTCATCAGTTTAATTATTCTAGCATATATAATAAAACTCTTTGAAATAGCAAATTTTTAATGTAAAGTACTGTACGCTTAATCATAAAAGTAAACTGCTTACTTCATATGTCCACATTTCACGCTGCTCTAAGATATCCTTTATTCTCGGTAAAATCATAGATAAGGATTTAGCTTTCCATCTTTGACGAAATTTATGCAATAAAAATGGTAGCACAGCCTCTTGGAATTGATTAAAAAGTTGATTTACAACCATCATAACTGCTATTTGCTGAAAATGAACAAATGATAAGTGGTATGCTACATGTTTTGTAATCAATACAAGATATTCGATTAGAAACAAAGGCATATAAATTAGTCTCTTATACAAAATAATTTATGTTCTTATTAATTAGCAGTTTGGGCCATGGAGTGGCAAAGTTCAGTATTCAATATATCTAAGCATAATAGAAGAATATGTGCAGAAAGCATTAAAAACATTACACCAGATATTGAGCTAAAAAGTATCAAGAGCATGTATGAGTTTGTATGAGAATCCACAGGCATAGTGTATCACAGTTCTTTGCTGTTAGGAAGCTTGTATTAATAACCTGTTTAATTATTTAAAGTTATTACTATACAATTTTTATTCACAAATTACAAGGTGCCCATATTCATTGGCTTATGAAACTCAATACAAGGGGGAAACTATCATATAATGGAAAATAGACAATTATTTATTATTTGTAAACCTAAAATATCCCCCCTTCCCAGTCCTTAGAGATTATCTTGTTAAAGTACTTCCATAGGTATCCATCCTACTACAGCTTTTGCAATACTATATATATTCAAATTTACTTCTAACAGACATGGAACAAATGCTATATTTTCTTGAATCTAATTTGCATGCTAAAAGGTTTTTGAAACTCATCCTTCATATAAGAATAATAAGATGAAAAAAGAAAAATTAATTAACATTAAAGGATTTTAATTACAGCAAAATTTGGAATCTGCGTTTAATAAAAAACAAATTTAATATAGTTCTAAAATATATTTGCATTATTAAAATACAAATGGAATTTAGTAAATAAATATAAAATTAAGACATCTTGAACCTTGAAGCTCATTCTCTGAATATAATTTGACCAAAAATATTTGAGTAATAGCTCAAATGTTTTAATATTTTTCCAGAATAACTTTAAATCAAACAATCATAGATAAGAGATGAATATTTCAAGAGTTAATACAAACACTTAACCTGAAAAAATGAAATTCTCTCAAGAAATTTAAGAAAATTAAAAAAAATTACATGGCATTTTGAAACAACGTAGCACTCAGGGCAAATATGACATAAGGCTACAGTTGCAGTTCGCACCTTAAAAGAAACCCTTTACTAGACCCCTACAAAATTACTTACAGTTTTGGATTAAAACTTTAAAAAAATTCAGGTAAAGATAAAAAGGATCAAATGATGAAATAAACACAAAAATGTTGTTTTTTTTAATCTTTAAAGAGTTGCAGGATTTAAATATTCCAGTTCTACTTTTTAACATCCCTGATTCCATAGATAGTGTGTTCATAGCCTAGATAATAATATTCAGTACAGCAAGTTGCAGGAATTATGGTAAATACAGATATAAAAATGCCTGTGAACTGGTATAGGTAATTCAGTTATATAAATATTTGGGACTTACAATGGTTTTTCCATCTGAATTGCAGTTATCTAATCTGCTAATTATAAAAGCTCAGAATGCTTGAAAAGTGTAAGAAATTCTTTGCATTAACACATTCCACTGACATCTTATCTGACAAGGATACTGTACTGTACTGAGTTTCTATTGCCGGAGCAATACTTCCCAGTCATGCAAAGAGTTCCATGTGGAGCCTGTTATTAGAAAATTCCTGATTGAGTTTCCTCTGAAGGGAGAAATAACAGGGAGAAAAGGGAATACAGCTCAGGATCTGACGCGAGCTATTTACAACACTGGTCCAAACAAAAACAAGTCCAAAGTAATTACTCCTAAAAGTCCATAAAATGCTCGTAGCCTGCTGGTGCTTCACTGTGATTGGTCGAAATTTAGATTGAAATCTTTGTTAGATAAGATGATGTAGAAAGATGCACACGGAGCGTCAGCACAGAGTACTGACGAGTACCAATTAATTATTGGCTTGCCTAATTAAGCATGCAGCATAGGCTCGGATGAGCAAATCATCCGGGATGATTTCATAGCTCAGAATGTACTCAAAGTTAGCTGTACTCTTGGTCTTTGTTTTCTTGAAAATTTTCCATTTATCTTGGATAAGTAGTCTTTGATATAATCCATATGAAGGTTGCGATGTAAATCTTCATTTCTAATATAGTATGGGGCGTTCATAATGGTTCTCAGAATATTATTTTGCAAACTTGCAGCCGGTGAATTTCACTTGCACTTTGCAATTGCTCAAGCCAGGGAGGCATATGTGATAACAAGCCTGACAATTGCAGTGTAAAGCCTTCTTTTGCGTTCAAGGTTTAATCCAGAGTCCTTAGAAAGTAGTGGGTAAAGCTTTTTTACAATGCCGTAAGCTTTTCCACACACACTGTTTATGTATGCATTCCAGGTAAACGATCAATTTAAAATGACTCCTAGGTATTTTGCTGTACTTACAGTAGGGACTATTTTCCCGAAGAGCGTAACATTACAAGTGAGGGGGTTCTGTGGTTTTGAATTTTCTGATAACTAAAACTTTTGACTTCTCCGGGTTGATCTTAATTTTCCATTGTTGACACCATGCTTCAATATAAGGAATAATCTGCTGAATCTTTTCCAAGGCGTGCCATCTGGACTTCGCGATGATGGTGGTGTCATCCGTGTAGCATGCTAACATAATATTAGGGTCTTGTCTGAATTTTGAGAAGTCATTTACATACAAACTATAAATTATAAATATAAAATACAAAATTAATAATATGTGAGTATCATGCTTTTAAAGTGGAAAATAAAAAGGCAATCTATTCAATGACTAAATCATTTAATAAAGATGCACTACAAAAGAGCATAAATTCTTGAGCAACTAAATTTAATTCATGTTGGAATACGAGGAGATCAACTTTTTAATGCTATTAAATAATGCAATACAAAGTAAATCAAAAATCTTACCCATTTTAACATATTCAGATCCCTCTCATAAAAAGCTATGTATCCCATGGCAATGAAGTTATTTACGAATTCAAACTGTAACATACACAACAGCACTTATTAGCTAAAACAAAATATGCTTGAATTATATATTCTCGCATTATTAGGTACAAACTGATAAATCTACATAAAATTATTATAGAATTTATAGAATGCTTTATGGAATTTGCTAAAATATTTAATATCTTATCAAAGAAAATGTCTGTAATAAATAATATAAACAGAATAAAATTATTATGCATGCACTTTTTCATAGCTATTTAAATAGTTAAAATATATCTCACAATAAGATAATAGAGGCAAATTTTAAGTTTGCTCCAATCAACAACTTTATAATGCAAAACATTTACAATCTACATTACCATATCAGAAATGAGATGATGTAACTAGCTATTTGTTGGTACAGGTATAAATACTTCTGAACAACAGTGTGTGCACATATACCATTTGGCACTGATCTTTGTTGGAGATGGTCGGTCGTTCAATGCTGCTGCTAACTTCACCAAATGGCCTCAAGATTATGTTGAATGCTATTGTTATGAACTATTTAGACTATTGATTGCTTTTCACTAATACGACCTTCTGAAGCAGCACTTGTTATGCTAAATTCATTAGACTCACACATTTTTTATGTTTTTGAGGATTTTGATAAATTACAGAATCCAAGCCTCCGCTTCAGGCATTGGTCAGGGACATCTGCGATTTTCCAGCCAACACATCTACAGAAAGATAATCTTGTGGTTTAGTGGTTTGTTAGTTAAGGGATTAGTGGGATGTTAGCTTGCAGCATTCCTATTGACGATGGACAGGAAATGAACTAGAACCAATTTTTTTTTCTGGATTTACCATAAGTGGAAATGATCTACAGAAACTCAAATATACTCTGTATTGGATAAGTGAAAAAATTAATCACCTTGAAAACAGAGAACTAGAGCTGATTACGGACGCAAATAATGTAGCTAAAAGATTTCAATGCAAAATTCATCATAAAATACACCTAATAGAAGAAGACGATCTACTAACACCAGATTAAAAAGTAAAAATAGCCAGAAACATTCAAAAGATGGATTTATCTACTGATAAAAACTTACAGATGCACATCTAGTCATGATGCAACACAAAGCATTTCAACAAAAAACACAGTATGCTCTCATGTCATGAACAGATGGAGATTATCCAACTTGAAGCAACAAATGACGGTTTTAACTCCAAGTAAAAAAGCAGGGAGGATTCCTCAAATAATTACTGTAAATGTTGACTAATACAAACCAGTAAGTAATGATACTATCAATCATGCAGTTGAAAAAGTGGAAATCTACAAACTGACAGCAGAAAGCCTTTCTTGAATTTCTCCAACTTTGTGTTCAACTATGTCTATTCTGCCTTCCATAGTCTCGAATTTGTTTTCTATTATGCAGGTAATTTCTCTTTTCATTTCTTCTTAACCTGCTTCAATCTTTCTCGGCCCGCTTTCATCACTTTTTTAATGGATTTTTGTACTGCTTTCAACTCTTCTTCGAGGCCCACCAGCGGCCGAGCGATAAAGTCACGGAGCACTGGTAGTTTGGTCCGAGGTTTGAATCCCACGAACGAGCTGGCTGCATGGGCGTTTTTGTGATTTTCCCCCATGTGTAACATGTATATGAGCCAGTTTCCCTTAGAAAGTCCTCCACGAAGGCATCCCTCCCCTTACGCAGATAACCACCGAGGCTTTGCCATAATCACACACACATCTCTTCTTTGGATGAAGAGAATTCTGCCACTAGCTGGCTTAACGTCACACTTGTCACTGGCATTTAGTCCCATTTGATACCAAAAATAGAATGCACACATGATTGAATTGCTGATAGGTTGATAAAATTTACTTTACCAAAAGGAGCACTTAACAGTTCTGGAAATATCCATAAATATACCCATACACCTCTTCACAGTATCACAGAGTACAATCAATAATTACACCTCAATTACTAAAAATGTTAGATGCATTGCAATACAAAGCGTATCTAAAGAGTGAAGCTCACACGGAAATATGTTAATGCTCCGAATTCATGCAGAGCCAAGAAACAACTCAGAAACTGATGCTCTCCCCGGTCTTATATAGCTTTCTCCCAGCCACCAAGAGATTTCTAGTACATTCCACTTCTTGAAATTACTAGAAGGCATATGAGGGCCAGATGCAGCTACAAATGGCATCAATTAGTTATTCAATTACAATACTCACACAGAGACTAGACCCAAATGTTGCCAAATTTGGCGATTTTTCATCAACTTCGTCGACAAAAATTATTCGCTAATACTATCAGCAGCTTGGCGATACCTCACCAATGTATTTTTACTTTCCCGGGAAAGCTTCGCTTCCTTTGATTTTCATGTTACATTACACAAAAAAATACTGTAATTTCAATTAAATTATTTACATATACACAAAATTCATTACAATATTTATTTTTTTGCTTTATTAAACATTTCTGATAGTGTAAGTTGTTTAAATTCCTTCTTTTTTTTTTTTTGTGATAATATTTTCTCTTTAATTTAGACATAATTTCTTGTTCATTTACAGTTCCATGTTCAAGTACTGTAACTACCATGTCGAGGATTCCCACTTAATCGTCATTCAAACGTTTTTCCTTCTCATGAACTTGTCTGTCACTTTATTTGCTTATTGGTACCGATATTTTCTGGATTTATAATCATACTACAGATTTCGCCATATGTTAGTTGACTGATGATTGAGGCATTGTCATCACAATAAAACACTTTCATTTATTACCACTTCTCTACACTTTTTTAAAAATTTCGCTTTTTTATTTGCAATATCTGAAAACTTTCAATTTCGCGGCTGTCATCATTAAGTTTGGATAGCATACACTAATGGGGATGCATCATGAGACTGGCGACTAAAGACATGTTTATTTGCAAAATCTTGTTTTGCTTCTATCACACACTGATGATGTTAAGCCTGTATTATACTAGTTAAGTTATTTATTATACTTAATGCCTATTTCCCGCAAATGCTCTTATGAACTCCGGATAAATAAATTTGCATATGACTTAAGGCTTATCCAGGACCGGCGCTAGGCATTTTGTGGCCCAGTGCAGTCTCTGTATGACATATATTCTGTTACCAAACTCCTCCCTAAATTCTAAAATTCTGTCATCTCCCAAATTTTTAATCCCAGTGGCACTAAATCCTAAAGATTTTGCCACCCCTTTATATATTGGTAGGTGCTTTTCGAAATTCTAAAGAATTATGCTTTATTTATTTAAATTCTGCAGCTCTGGTGCCCGTCCTCGCCTTATCTGAATAACAAATCAGTTATTCTCAATTCAAACAACACTATATGTAATCTTTTGGCCTATGACTAATTTAATGAAAATCGTGGTAAATTTACATTTACGAAATCGATTTTTGCACATAAATAAAGAGAAATGTTGCACATGAAAAAATTTTCTGTTAAATTTCTCCTCGTCAACACGTGCGACACTTCACAGCGCAGGTCTCTGAAGTCTGTAATCATGGCCAAGCCTAATGCCAACATAAAATTTAACCTTGTTCTTTGGTTTTCATTTATAAATATTAAAAAAAAATTATTTGGACATTGTTGCGTAAGCCATTTTTCAAGCTGCAGTGATGTGTTAATAGTTATGTGATGATGAACTCAAAAAAATGATAAATAAATGATTCGCTAGGTTGGCATTAGGGATGTAAATTATTCAGCAGGTGTAAAATCAATGATGTAGAATGTTTCAATTTGAGATGTATGCCAAGCAAAAAGGTGGCTACAGAGCCTAATTATTGATCATACAGATTTATGCTAATAAGCGATTGTTCCTTCAATATGGAGGTATTTTATTTAGTGTCGAAGTGAAATTAAAAATCAGGACTCTCCAGGTTTAATTATGAAAAAATAACAAATGCAAATGGGTAAAGCATGCAAAAACACTTCTTAAAAAAAGTTGCTGGTAATCTATAGAGGTCTGGATTTCGGACTTTTTACTGTGTTATTTTTAACAGGCTATATATGCATATGACATGCGAGATTTTAAAATTCTTCTAATTAACTTAAGATACATATTTTAATTACACTCCATCAAGTAATAAAGAAAAATAGAACCACATTTAAAACAAATAAGTTTGACTGATAAATTACAGAAAAATACATACAGGCCATATGCTAAAGGGAACAGGTGCCTTTACAAAAGAATATTTGAAAGGAATTCCGGCATTTAATTCTAGTACACGTGCAAGAGTGACAGGAACCTTAAGCTGCCATAAAAATTTCATAGCTTCAGTTGCTTTGTCATTATTGTGTTATAACACTTAAGATTTAAGGAGTTAAATATAATCATGAAATATTATGCTACAGATAAAATATACTTTATTGTGTTATTTAAAGAAAATACAGTACAAAGTCTGTAGTCCACATGTCCATTATCCGGAATGATCTATAATCCGGACCTCGAAACCACAAACTTTTTTTTGTATGCTTTACGCATGTGCGTAATGCATTTACGAATGCGCGTTTAATGTATAATGGATGGTATACGCTAGGCTAAAATTATCTTTACTGATTCTAAGGCATTTCAGTTAATGTTGCATATTGCGCTGTTCCTTAATCTTCTAATTGGATCCGACTTATTATTTTTTGCAGACTGTTAGAGCAATTTTATAAAAATTAAGCTTGAACTTTCAATTATGTCAAAAAGAGTTTCCAATTCTGGAGCTGCCAAAATATCTACAAAGCAAAAGCATGTTTCGATGTCTATCAAACAAAAAGTAGAATTGCTGCAAAAAATGGTTAAAGGCATATCCGTCTCAAAATTATGCAAGGAGTATGACATTGGAAAGTCAACTGTATATGACATAAGAAAAAAGAAAAAGGAACATTTTGAATTTTTTTGTGGCAGCATCTTAAACAACTTACATTGAAAGAAATGTTTAATAAAGTAAACAAATAAATATTAAGCTTTTTTTTTTGTAAATTTTGATACCCTATCATAATTGCTCTTTATTTCATAAATTAGTTTCATATTTTTAATTGTATGATTTCTGCATGCCATCTTATCAGATTTAAATTGATGATCTATAATCCAAAAAGACCCCTAATCCGGAATCGCCGAAGTCCCGACGAGTCCGGATTATGGACTTTGTACTGTATATGTTATGTATATAATTCATATATTTTACTTGATACTCACCAAAAGCAATTTTACAATGCGATGGTTATCAAATGATTCTTGAGTCTTGTGATTTTCTGTAGATTATATAAAAATGTATCAGACACATATAAGTATACTCAACCACTAACTTTATTATTTAATATAATAAAGGAAAATAAAGACAAGACTAAAAATCCTGTGAAATAAAACTGTTCTGTTTAATAAGTTTAAATTATTATTGCAAAAGTCAGGCAGCCAGCATACAAGACAAATCATTTCATCCAAAAAGATATAAATTTCAAACTTTAAAGCAGTTTCTCCAGCAACTAGAACAGATACTTTTGTATTTAATTGGAAAAAATAATGTTACCTACATAGCTTAATAATTTATTAAAACTCATAAAAATAATAATACATATAACAATATGAAGCAAAAACACACATATAACAATATGAAGCAAAATTAAAATTGCCAGGAACTGAGATATATGGCTATAGAAAAAACTTGCAAAAGGATTTGAGAAACAGGTTTAGGTCTGAATATTTAGGAGCACTTATTCAAAAAGCAGGAAACAAAAAATCTGTGAAAGTGAATATTGGTGATATTGTATTGATAAGAAGTGATAACACCAAGCGAATCAATTGGCAATTAGGTAAAATAATTCAGATTCTTCCAGGAAAAGATGGAATTACAAGACTTGTCAAGCTTAAAACAGCTAATGGACACTTGCTAAGACCAATTCAAAGATCGTATCCACTTGAAGTTTCCAACGATGATCCCATTATTGAGAAATTTTGAACCGCGAAGGTGGGGGGTGAAACCTGTGCCAATTCTTCCTTTGATAACGTGTGTGGACTTGAACCTCAGATTCAAAAGACTAGAGCAGGTCGTACAATCAAAGTACCTAAAAGACTGGACTTATGAACTACTTATAATTTTCTTTTTGTAATTATAAATATTCACAATTTTCTTTTGTAAGTTAAATTTTTGAGGTAAAAATATTAACTTAGGTGGGAGGATGTGAAGTTGAACCTCCACCAGATTATTATCTTTATTTTGATGTAATTTAGTAAATCGCCATTGGCAACAGTTGAGTTTTTACATCTACGTTTTCGAGTTTGTTCTATTGTTTACTTTTCGTTTTAAGTAATGAGAAAAATGACTTTTTGAGATGTTTTTCATGAGTATTTAAAAACTGATGAGTAATATTTTATGCCATTTATGTTCTGAGTATTGCTTTGAGGTGTCAAAGCTAAAACTAACACTTAATTAGACTTGTAAATAGAATCGTAATATTAAACTGTTTGTGTTGTGACGAGATGTCTTTCATTGGATAATTGATTGTATACTCATTTTCCATCATAATTCTTCTGATATCGAAGGTAAAACGGGACAAGTATAGTGAGTTCATAATACTGCCAAGATACAATAGACAAAGTAACAACATCATAGTCTTGAGTTAGGCAATTACATCTGTACCATTTGTGCACTTGTAGAAAAACCTGCAATGGCAGAATTCAGAGTTCATCATACTTGGCCCTCTTCCAGAATTTAAGACAAGCATTCCTCCTAGCCTGAGAATGGTAGATCCCAGAGTAGCAATTACTGGTTTCTTTGCATAGTCACTGGATCTTCTGAACTGATTATGCAAAGGCCAGGTAACACGAGCCAAGAAATGGCATTTCAACATTCTTGATTTTTAAAATATAGTATTTGATCCAGTTATATCAAGGAACTGAAAGATTTTCCTTCATTTGCTATCATAGTCCAATAATTAGCAGATCAGTCCAGCACAGTGAACATCTTGCATTTGATTCAGTCAAAAGGGCATAATTTATATCCAAGTACCCATCTATTTCATTTCTGAACAACTAGTGGTCTCAAACCTATTTTCAGTTCTTTCCTCTACTTCCTAAGATAGAAGGAACGAGATTGATGCAACATGATGAACACAGCAAAGGATGCTATTTTCTCCTCTACTAAAGCCATATCAATATTTGCATATGATCTTTCCTGTAAAGTATGAAGCAAATGCATCTAAGAAAATGCTTACATGGATCATTAGGTTTTTGTATATTTTAAAAACTATGCAACACATTAACTAGGTAATACTCATTCAATTCTGAACATTTTCTTAGAATTTTTTTTAAAATTCAGATTCTCACTACTATTTTCTCTGTATGAACAGGTTTCCTCAAAGCCATGGAATCAAGTTTAAGAAACTTTCCTAGATCTCATATCAGATATAAAGAGATATCAGTTCACCTGCACTATACGAAAATATTATACTAATGCTGTATATTATACATCTGAAAATTTTAGTTCAGTTCCTAAGCACAATACAGTACTTGCTATTTTTGGCATTATAAATTTAAACCCAAATTCACTGAAGTGCAATTATCACGAATTATTTCATTCAAAAATACTGTTATTCAATAAAAATTCTGAGTTTTTTTTTTTTAATATTTACATAATGTTTTAGGGATTAAGGTCACATGCTTTTTAATCACACTTTCTAACGTAGTGGAAGAATCTAAAAAGACATGTAGGCAAAGGAACAAATTAAAAAAAAAAAGCATTAAGATATGAATAAACACAAATGAAAAATTTCTATGTGTAATCATACCCACTTAGATGATAATGCAGAAGCTTTAAAAAGTGGTCAAATATACCAGGGTAAATAAAATTACATGAAATGAAAAGCACAGATAAAAAATAAAATAAAATACATCAGCAAAGAGCACAAAATATTTGCTTTCAAGAAAATTAATACAAAATTTAAAAAAACCTGTAATACTTATTCTTAAGTTACTAAACCTTTTTAAAATTGTTTTCATGTTGTATCTCTTGGTTTCATATGCTCAAGTGTTCATTTCAAAGGAGTACGCAGAACTGCCAACAAAAGAAATTAGAGTGCAGATATAAAAACAAAAAAGCTACTACTAAAACCTATAAAAGGTAAATATCAAAGGCAAATGAAAGAAGTGATAAAAACCATTACAAGGAAATTGGACATGTTTGAAAAATATAGCTTATTAGATTTTTTACTTGCTAATTACTTAAAAATGTGAACTTTATGTGCAAAAACAGAATCGAGGCCCGAGTGAAGTTTCTTGAGTTTTTATTTAGGCAAAGGTGGTTTGAAGCAGGAACAGACAATTGGTCCTCCATCTCCCCTCTTCATAGTGTTAGCTATACTTCATAGTAAATATTGAAATTGTCAACCATTCTGTCGATATGTGCGGCACTGCATCCTTGAATTACGGACTGCCTGACAGAATTACAGACAATTAACATCATCCAATTGTAATTGAAGAGAATGTTCACATGAGGCTCAAGCATCACAATCGTCATAGTCATATGGTATAAAAGTCGACAGCTTTATTCACACCTGTTGATCAGGATCTAATACTTCTCAAAAAGTAAATCTCAGAAAGCCAATCTCAGCAAGTAAACTTGCACATGAGTGAATTTGTTAAAAGGTCTTTCACTTGCTTGATTTACTATGTTTGGTCAGCTCTCAAATCATTAATAAAGCTGAATATTTAGGAAAAATACTTGTACCAATTTCTGTGATATAGCAAGATCTAGTTTCCTAGAAATGAAGTTCTGCTTATGCCAGTAGTAACTGTAAAGTTCTCAAGTAATTGCTTCTTAAGGTTAACTGAATGTGTACAATGAGCTGGCTCTTTTCAAATGATCAAAATCTACTGGAAACGAATTCATTTCACATAGCTACATACAAAGAAATTGACTGATATCAAGTCAGGTGATCAACAGATAAAGAGAAGACATGAGTGTCCATCCTTTTCTCCAGCTGAATATGACATCATGAAATTTTAAAGTTGCATACCTCCTGACAGAAGATCTGTACCAAAACCATTCCAACAGCATTTTGTTTCTTCTAAGCTTTTAAGTATGCTACCTAAGGCTGGTAAAAATTTTCTCGGACACTCTAAATATGTTGCAAATAAACTGATTAAAAAGTTCTAATATAGATGACTTATATTATTTAGAACAGAATTTTAATAAAAAATATAAATTAGAGCTCAATTACAGTTAATTTAAGTGAATATGACAAACCATATGCATGGTATCTGGCAAAACAGATTCTTCCAATCCGTCCTTCCTACACGAAATTGACTCGTAGCTATGTTACACATATGGAAAAACCATGAAAACATGCAGAAATTCGGTCCCAGGTCAAACTATCAACAGTCAATTATCTTATGCAATCAGCCACTGGTAGGCTGCATTATTTACATAAAAAATAATGCAAATATTAAGCAAACAATCTATAATGAGCATCCAAAAAATAATGGCAGCATTTTGTCCTATTGTTATGAAGCAGAGTAAGTACAACAGTTTAGCATATTTTGAGCATTAAATAGAGCAAAAAATTCAGAGACAGCAGCTTGCTGCATATGCGGACAGTTAGTATAACATGAAACAGCTGCTAAGTGGGACAATAAACATCAAAGTAACACATCGGACAATTTACAGTGATTTTACAATTGTGCAACAGACATTAAATGACAATTCCTCAAGCCCAAAAGACTAGGCAAAATAAGGCTATTCTGTTGCATCCATGAAGCCTGGACTGTTTCTCATCGATTTCTTCCTTTGGTGTAATATGAAAATGTCGATTTTCAGCTAAAAATATTCAGAATCTCAACAGTCTGAAATAAATAATCACTGCAGCAATTACACACACGCGTTAGTCTGCATATCCTAGCTCAAGTATATTTCAAAATTTGAATACTTTTTTGATGTATGCCATGTTCTTAACATATACCTATAAAAACCAAATCCTATGTGTTTCAAAATCAAAGTTAGATAGATAACTATGTAAGAAAATTTCATAGAATACTGTGTCATTTGTATTACCACACAAACTAATACAAAATCCCACCATTATTTTTTGGACAACCTGCATATTAACAGAATTAAAAATGAAAGACATACGCACCCCATTCTGTAAGAACATTTGCGATGTAAGCATATACAACATTCATAATATAAACTATAATGGCATAGACTATGCCAGGAATTTGTGAAAGAACCCAGCCAAGAAAGCTTCCATCATCATATAAACTTATTACCATTTTTTCAATGTGAAAGTATGCAAGCATGACAATAACAGCAAAAAGCAGACAAAGAATGACTAGTGGTAAAGACACACAGTAAACCTATAAAGATAAGCCAAAAAAATGTTTAGCATATATTATTAAAAATGTATTAAATAATTCAAACATTTACAGAATTAGAGAAATAATAAAACTACAAGTAATTATACATAATACAAATAATTATTTCCATCCATTTCAAACACCTTTCAAAATAGAAAATTCAAAAATATGAATGTCATCATATGCAAATAGAGATAATTGTAAAATAAGTTGCAATTAATGTTCATAAAATTAGTTATATGTAATTAACAGAAAACTTCTTAAACAAGTTACAGTACCAATACTATGCTTCAAAAGTGACTCTTCTTTTATCGGACCAGCTCAAATCATAATAAACCAGAAAATAAAAAATAAAAAAAAAAAAAAGAATATCCGAGGAAAAACTCAAATCCATTATGATCAAAGACGACGTGATTATTCTCTCTTTTGAATTTGAAATCATAACCAAAAGCTCTCTCAAGAGATACATTGCTGTTGCTACAAAAAATCTTTAACATGAAAAATGATTATTGCACACTGAACATAGAAATCCTATCATACTACATTAATATTTAGCAAATATAAACACAGAAGAAAGAGAAAAAAGTGTAAAAGTAGGCATATGCAAGTTGAAAGCTAATTAGTAAACATGAGGAATTTTATAAAATTGGACATTTGCAATTTGATAAATAACAAACTGAAGAGGAGAAAAAGACTGAATCCTAGATTAGAGTGCACAGACAGGATTTTATCGCAAAGTAGCTAAGTAGTCTTAAAAGAGATAATGATTCAAAGCAAAAAAGAGAACAAAACCATGTACATACAGATTCATAACTTTTGCATTAAATAAAGGCAATTTTGCAAAACTAAAAAGTCCAAAATGGAGATTTTCCATTTGTTCTTAAAAAAAAAAAAAAAAAAAAAAGCAAATCATTGTTTACCGTAATAAAATCAACTACTGCAATAATATGTGGGGGAATGGAAAGCCAATATCAACTATAATGGCATAGACTATGCCAGGAATTTGTGAAAGAAACTAGCCAAGAAATCTTCCATCAACATATGAACTTAAAACCATTTTTTCAATGCGAAAGTATGCAAGCGTGGCAGTAACAGCAAAGAGCAGACAAATAATGACTTTTGCAAAGAGCAGACAAAGAGTGATTTTAGTGCTTATAAAATTGTATTTACAGATTGAAGACAGCATTAAGGAAGAGAATATCACATCCTCAATATTCTTTTCCTTAACTCTGTTTTCTGTCTGTAGCTACGATTTTATAGATACTAAAATATCTTTGAGCATCAGTGCTATAATGTAACTGTAAAGATGTAAAACAGCTGCCTTTGCAAAGCTATATGACAGATTGTTGTAGTACTGAGAATCTGTATGACATTTGATTTGTGTGTTGCGATTGACCACTAAGTTGTTTATGAAAATGCATCTACCCATCAGCGAGCTCGTCATTTACAATTTTTCAAAAAAAGAATGGCATTTTAGAGAAATTTTCCAATCACAAATTGCTTTAAAGCTGATGTAGGAATGCTTGGGACTACAGATGGGCAAAATAATCTGCATATAAGTTTATTGAATTCATTGCTGTACTGAATAAAATGCGAACAGCCAATATATTAAATAAATTGACTGTTTGCATTTTATTCTCTCTCTGATGCTGCAACCAACATCATTTTATGTTAGTAACCAACTTCACCTTTTCGCTTTACAAAATGAATTCTCTCTTATCTCCAAAACAGCCACCACTTTGGTACTCAAGAGAAAGCTCTAAATAATTTAACTCATTACTCTCACTCTATGGGTAAACAAATGCATAGTTTTATTCTTCTAAATTCTGAATCAGTTTCAAAATTTTTGGACAGAATTCAGAAATGAAAGCTATTTCAATGTATTTTATGAGACACTTTTATTTTCATGACATTTCTTTAAGAAGCCAATCCTTGAGCTGGGTCTTCATATTCATTGAAAACAGCAGCAATATGGCCCATATACACATCCAAATAAACAACAGCTATGCACCAAGAACAAATTTTCATTCAAAAGAATTCATAAACAATAGTAGTCATTTATTACTAATACAGTACAACGTCCGTAATCCGGACTCATCTGGACTTCGGCGATTCCGGATTAGGGTTTTTTCCAGATTATAGATCATCAATTTAACATGTCATGCAGAAATTATAGAATTAAAAATATGAAACCGTAATTTATGAAATAAAGAGCAATTATCATCTAAAGGGTATCAAAAATTTACAAAAAAAAAAACAAAAAAAAAAAAAAAAAAAAGCTTAATATTTATTTGTTTACTTTATTAAACATTTCTTTCAATGTAAGTTGTTTAAGTTGTTTCATTTTTTGTGCTAATACTTTCTCTTTAATTCTATAAACAGACATGATTTCTTGTTCAGCTACGAAGTTCCACTGTTCAAGTCCTGTAATTGCTGTGTCGAGAATACCGACTAACTTGTCAATCAAAAATTTTTTGTTTTCAATAGACTCTCTGTCACTTTCTTCACTATCGGAAGCGGTATTTTCTGGATCTAGAACCATACTACAGATTTCGCCCTAAGTTAATTGATTGATGATTGGGGCATTGTCGTTACAATGAAAAACTTCTGTTATATCATCTTCATTTATTATCGCTTCTCCACATTTCTTTACAAAATCCAATAACTGGAAAATTTCACCTTTAGTTTGCGATGTACGAAAACCTTCAAATTCACGGCTATCATCTTCACCGTCCTCACCATGAAATATGGTAGCTGGCCAAAAATTATGAAAAGCATTTTTTAACGTATCTGGAGACACATCCTCCCAACGCATTGTAAACACATTACGCGCATGCATAAAGCATACAAAAAAAAAAAGAAGTTTGTGGCTTTGAGGTCCGGATTACAGATCATTCCGGATAATGGACGTCCAGATTACGGACTTTGTACTGTACTGGTAAATTTTGCATTTGTTCGCATTTATTTCGTAAGTATGAAAATTATGCACTCCATTTGTTTAGGAAACAGGTTTGTTTTAGTCTTTTAAAAATATAGTAAGATAATAGCTGTCCAGGTATCTTGAAGTACCTAGTAAAATCCCCATACTGAAGCATAAAGAGGTACTCTATCCATAGCATTTTGTTTATACTGCTGAATTGTGTTTTTTTGCTGTGCAGAAGTGCCATAAAGAAGTTACATTGATATAGAAATGCTACCATTATATTAGAATAGTAATAAACTAAATTGCCCAGAATATAGTTTTTATTTAAATGACTGACTGACAAATCATGGGATTTTCCAGCAAGTTATTTAAATATTTCTCAAAAAATAAACAATACATATTTTATAGCGAATTAAAAAACACTTTTCTATGGATTTACATGACATTAGTATGGATATATTACCTAATCTATACCGAAACATAAAATGATTACAAGAAAATTTGTTTTATTCTATTTTATTCTATTAGGCCAAAACATAGGACTGAAAGTTTCAGTGGTAACTATAGTCTGACAGAATGTATGATGAAACAGATGTAAAATGCAGATTTTGTAATAATAACAAATGCTTACAATGATGACATTTATAATATTTTATGGTAATAACCTCCATACTTGAAAATTAGATGACTGAAACTCAGAATATGCAGCAATGAGCTACAACTTGCAAGGATGTATATATTTTTATATATGTCTCATACATGACATATGGAATTCAGTTCCGATCCTCTAACATATCATTACAAATGAAACATTCTTTGAGTGTAAAGGTATCTTTGAAGCAAATGTGTTTTGTGACGATACAGATTATCCTCCCAAAGTATGGAATCTGTGACTAGAGCCCTCGGAAAAAAAGACAAACATCTGAGACTATATGGCTGTGCAATTTTGCCGTGATACTGGACAGCAATAAATGCTTTGCAGTGCTTACACACTAAAGCTCTGCACCCATTTATTACTATACCTGTCATGATTAAGAAAACATCTCACCTATTACAGTCACTTTCACTTAAGATGCTTATTTAATACTTTGTACAGGAATCTAGGTTTTCTACAATGAAAAAGTTGCTATCAGTGATTAAGAGATCAGATCATGACTTATCAGTCAAAAGGATTTGACTTTACTGATTCAGATTCAGGCTGTAGTATTGATCTACCTAAATTTACTAGCACCATGCCTGATTTGCTTGGCAGAGACACACAATTCACCCTCATAATACTGATGAAACAAACAGCTAGTCAACATACTGATCTCCCCATGGGAGCAGAAAGGTCTGAATTCGAATGCCAGGCTGATTTTAGAGTAAGAAACTTCATCATAATCCTCTGACAAATCTATAGCTGATGGAAACTCTTTCATACCTTTGGAAATGACTCAAAAGTCAGAATGTGAAGCTGTAATGCATTTTTTGTTACCACATCCCTCTGCAATTAGCTTCTTTCTTTCCTCTAGCTTTCTACCTCTCTCATTCAAATGTACCTTTGCTTACCATATGGCTATCTAACATTTCTAACATCACTCAAACTTCATAAATTTTAAGCGTAAATGGGAATTAACTACCAGTTAAAAGTGCTTTGATTCAAATGCAAGCTTACAATTTATATAAATTTCTTTTGCATATTTGAGACCAACACCAAATTTTACAACATGCAAATATATTTTATATTTTAATTGCAAATAATAAGTATGAAACTATAATTTTTCCATTGGTTGCTAATTGACTTAAATTGAGCCACTTTTGTTATTGTATGTTGTGACAACTGGAAATTATCCCAACATACAGTAACAAAAGTGGCTCAAATTTGAAAAAGAATAAATAAATAAATAAATAAAATAAAAATTAAACAGGTCAATTAAGCACTGCAGTCAGATAGCTTTATAACGGCCTTTATATGGATTCACTTTAGACATAACCCATATCATGTCCAAGGTCAACTAATAAAATACAGCAGTGACCAAGTATTTGAATAAGTAAGATATTCACTGAACTTAGCCTTAAGTACAGAACTATGGCAAATATATGGAATTGCTGCTACAATTTGCATCTAAAATGAGACAACGCATGACCATTTTGAAAATACTGGATTGGATTACTTGATTATGGTTATACACATGACAACTATCTGCTCTGAAGGAGAGGGATGTGTTTCATGAAGGATGTTTTAAGGAATATAACTCACATTCATGTACATGTTTTTGAACACAAAAGTTCCATCATGTACTTTTAAAATGACACCATGATAAACAGTTGTGATGCGTTATTAAAAATGAATGACCAGGTAACCTGCATAAAAGTGTAATCCTACTACATGATAAATGCCTTCCGTCACATTGTTAAGTTGATGAAGCAGAAATCATGACCCCATGTAATGAGAGTTTTTTATAACATTTTCAATCCAATATCAATAAGAAAACAACATTGAAAGCATGCTGATTCTAATAATACAGTAAGAGGAAGATGGCTGCATCAAACTGCTTTGGACAGCAAGAAAAATACATCTATAAAAGGGTAGGTTCAAAACTGGTTAGTGGTTCATCAAATAGGGCAATGCATTATTACTGGTGATAATTACTTAACATTCAGCTTACTTTTTATAATCACCCGATACGTATGAGTAAAACATATAGAAATTAAATAGTACAACTTACAAAATGTCTCTTTCTCTAATAAATATATGCATCCAGATATAGAGAGAAATTACTTATTATATGCAAAGACACAAACATAAATATATACACACATGTACACACCCACATAAAAATTTCTTTCACTCTTAATATTTAGTCAAATATTACATATTATGTTGATTGATGTAGTTAACAGTTATACTTCACTTTGAAATGTCGTCTGTACCCAGGGTATATGGGAATGTGCTGCTTGGTAACAGGATCAATCCCCATATACTTTCCACGGAAAGTTGGATGAAGTTTCGGTATGGTAACCAGTCTCAGTGTACCCCATTGATAAGCCAATTCATTACTTTTTCGTTTCCAGCATTCAAGGAAGAGAGTAAGCCAGATCATTTTAAACACAGCAAAGAATACATGTGAATGAGATATGTCAAATGAAATTATAGTTTGAATTATACCAACAACGGCAGGGGGAAACAGCGCCCAAGTGTAAAAGCAAATAAATGCAAAGTAGAATGCAACAGATTCCCCGAAGTAGTTACGGATATGACCTGAAAAGAAAAATGGCATATTTACTTGCAATCAGCTTTAAATTGCATAACAGTAAATTTCAATAATTACACAACATATAAATTTAAATTCCAGATTATAATACAATTGGTTTTTAACTGTATCAAATATAAAATCACAAATTTACAAAAATGCTAAAGCATAACTATAAATTCATTAAACTACTTATCAAAAGGATAATATAATTATAATATACTGAAGTAACTAACTTCATCATCAAAAAATATGATTTTTGAGTTAGATACCTGATTTGCTAATGATAAAATAAGTCAGACTATTTGCTTTTAAAAAAAGATTATCTTTGATAAGGAACTTCAGAAAAGAAATAACTCATGTCTGCTTAAAGCACAGGGAAAAACTATAAAAATCATAAAGCAACCAAACTACTTCCCTGGAAATTAAATCCAGAATTAAACTGTAGACAAACTACTGGTTTCATCCAGTCAGCACCAGAAGGCCAATGCAATACAAAAGAAATAACTGGAACTTGTTTCATAGCAAAAATTCACACTTCTTGATGTGTTGAAGAATTATTTAATGTTTGAGTTTCACAATTTAATATTTGAGTGGAATTGGAAAATTTAAGTTTTGGAAATTCATTTCAACATCTGAATGGAAAGCAAAATAATGCAATGAATTCTCAAAACCATAAACCACAATACAGCTGAGATATTTCAGCATCTATGCAAATTAACATAAAGTATCTAATACATATTTATTGAATAAAGAAGAAAGCTAATGTATCCTAGAAATTTATAAGGAGGAAACATGGTTAAACATGACAGCTTTCTGTACTGGGAAATGTGGTCATTCTACTCAACACAGAGAACAGCATCTCCTTCATACATCCTATAGCTTACAGGAAGCATGTGAAATCACAGACAATCATGAAAACCTATAAGATTACACCATTACTTTATACATATAATTAGATAATTACTTAATATATATATATATATATATAGTCTAATACATGTATATGTAAACTTAAAGCATCTAAAGTTAAAAGTAATTTGGAGTCAAAGCAAGACAACTCCTCAACAATATTAATAATTGCAACTGTGCATAAGAGGTTTAACATAATATCCAAAGCACATCAAAATTAAAATAAGAAATCATAGTATTGCAAACACTAAAGATAAAAATGGAAATGCAAAAGGGAAAAAATATACAGGATAATAAAAATATAAAATAATCTCCATTTACTCCCTTACATAAATATATATAAGGAAGTATATATATATGTCTAGTAGATATACATATATATTGGATAATGCAATTAATATGGATATTAGATAATTAGTCTATATTAGAACATTTATGAAATTGTATGCAAGACACATAATTACATTAAAGTTTAACCAATAAATATGCACAATATGTGAACTCTAATATTACCATTAATTAATGAGACAGTAATATAGAATACCACTGTTAACATTAGACATGTAATACAGGCACTGGAATGTTGATCACTTTTTCAAAATTATGTAAACCAATAAAATGGCAGCTGATCTCTCAGAGATGTATTCAACAAATATTTACATGTTGCAAAATGTAGACTTGAAATTTTATATGAAAAGTCATATAATAATTTAAATATAATATAGATAATTAGAGAATAATTTTTACCTTATTTGCATAACTTGATAATGTGCAAACACATATGCATACATTTTAATTTTTGGAGCAATCAGTATCATGAAAACTATCAACATGAAAATAATGGAAGTCAGATATAATTTAAAGACATTATTATACTGAAATAACATTTATAAGGTATTTCTCCCACCTTCTTATCATACCTTCGTGGTGTAATGGACAGCACGCTTAAAGCACATTCGAGGGGTCCAAGGTTCGAGTCCCAGCAAGGGCATTGTATATTTTTCCTGTCTTCTGTTATAAAAGAAACCTTAATATCTCTACAATGGCACCCAAACTAAAAAGGGTGGTGGTGGATGATTCTCCATCACCAGGATTTGACGACTGTGTCTCTTAATCCCCAGTCGCCATTTAAAAAGGGAAGTATATAAGGTATTTCTCCCACCTTTTTAGCATGCCTTCGTGGTTTAATGGCCAGCACACTCGGAACGTATTCAAGAGGTCCAAAGTTCGAGTCCCGGTTTGGGCATTGTTAATTTTTCATGTCTCCTGTTTTGAAATAACCTAAGGTCTCTACAAATTAAAGTAATGTTAATGATAAAAGGTAAAACACAGTTTCGAGGCATTAAATTAAATTCAAATTTGTTTAAATCATACAACATAAAGCTATTCATGGTCATCATTTGTAATCATCAGTTGACCATATCCAGTCAGAGGACTAGTCTCAATAGATCGCAGTATGGTGGCTGCTCTACTACTTACAACAAGACTCTTCTGATTGGTTCCTAGTTTCCTGTATTAATATTGACTGATAAGAAGTATCTGTAGCAGAACAAATTAAGAATTTCATAGACCTTGCAGATGTCTGATAGTTACAGGCATCCTAGAACGGAATAAAATATCGTAACGTAAGGTAAATTTTCTCTGAGTATATTTAATACTACATTATTTTTTCTTCCTTCAATTTCACTTAAGAATACACATAGAAAATCCAGAATTTATTTGCTTCAATTATAATATAAAAAAAAAATGTTATAAAACAGAAATAATTACCAAGTGGTACGGAAGTAAGTGACCAGACTTTTTTTAATGTTTTTAATTCTTCTGGTTCATGCAAAGGGAAAATATAGGAAATAATTCCATTATCTCTACAAACTTGAACTGAAAAAGAAAACTAACCTTAGTGGTACTGAAGACAAAATTTACATTCTGGCATTATAATATAAAGTACAAAATGACTTAAAGCATATAAATTAAAAGCTGCAAGAAACTAAAAATTATCATCTTTTAAAATATTAATTATGATCTAATAAAACACCAAAATATAGCGATATATAATGTCTGTCAGAAAGTCACCTCTTTAAGCCATAAGTTACTCAACATCCAATATGTAGGATAATAAATACTAGGCATATCAGCAGGGTTTAAAAGTTTAGAAAACTAATGTTAAAGACCAAATATAGAAAACAACAAATTAATACTCTTGGTAAAACAGGATAGATCATTTGAATATGGAAAAGCACATAAGAGATATCTGTCTAAGGCATCAGATCCCAATAGAGTTAGCATGGACCTCTGGGATGTACGCATCGACAATGCATGGTAACTTCATCGACCCTTTTTAAAGGGGGTCATCAAGATCAAGGGGTTGACAGCTAAATATGTAAGGGCAGTTGACTGGAATGATGAAGATCCCACTGATGGTAAAAAACTATTAATATTATAAAATAGACTATTTTTATTGATATAAAGCTGTATCATGTAGTAAGGGAAAAAATCATATAACACAAATATAAGGAGAAAATACACAAAAAAGTTACTCAATTTATTTATTAAATCAGTAATATGTTTTTAATATATAATTTTTCTATGCATTAATGTAATATAAAAAAACACAACTCAGAAAATGCAGAATTTCCTCAGAAGATATATTGTTATATACAAGCCGTTTGCAAAATTTAAAAGATTTCAATGTTTGTATCCAAGATATTGGAAATATTAATGTGTCAATGTGGCTCATAGACCCATCGAAGTGTGATATATTTGATCTTGATATTATGATGCAAGGAGAATTTATTCCATTGAAAGAAGTTGTTCAAGCATGAGTTTTATTCAAAACATGCATACGCTACATTTTGAAATCAAAGTCATCCGTGAGAAATATCCGGAAATAAAAGTGGTTACTGAAGAACATTATTGACTTTTCCCTCTTCTTACTTAGTAGAAGCAGGCTTTAGTTAAGTCAATAATTTACGATAAAAAAACAAGAAATAGGTTGAATACTTTTTAACGAGGCGATTTGAGAATCAGTTTCATGCTAAAAATTAAAAAAATTGCATTGATACATCCAGTGCAGCAATCGCATTAATTAAAACTGAACTTTCTTGCAATTAGAATTTGCAGTTTTGCTCTTGAAAACTTTATATGTCTAAAATTAAAAATAGCAATAATACAAAAAAATAATATAACAAAAATTGACTCTATTCTTATATGTGCCCTAAAGTTGCCAAATGCGGCAATATGCGTTGTGTGCTGGTTTTTGGTGCGATTCTGTGTTCTGTTCTGTGATGGTTTTGGGGGGTGATGTTGGTTTCTATGGCAACCCTTTTTATGTGGAAACTTGGATTTGCTAGTTGGTTCATGTGGTAATTAAGTGATTTATGATGTGTTGGCAAAATTTTAGTCGAGTGATTGGTACAACTATTTTTTCGGGTGGCTGGAAATTTTACAAGTACATAGAAGAAGGTTTTGAACATTTATTTGTGAAACATAGTATTAATTTTGTGGATAGTGAGTGTGGCTGTCATATAAATATAATAGAGATTACGTAGCGGTGTGTTAAAGCGATGTTGCCGACTTATAATCGGAAATGCAATTTGGAGTTTTATTTGGTGGTTTATATATTTTTCCATCGTTGTTCTGAAATGGGAGAAGATGCTTTTAACAAATTTGTGGTGAAATTGTTTTGGTGATGCATGAAATTGGTATTTCTGCTGTCCAAAGAAGCATTTATTTATGGTAAGTGCATTTTGTTTTATTTTTGTTCTTATTTAGTAGAATGTTATGTTAATTGTTTTTTTAGTATGAATTTCTGTCATTATTGTTGTTTTTTTGAATTGTTTGAAATATATTTTAGTTTATTTTGTTGATTAGTGCACAATGTATAAGTCTGTCAACCATTTTTGACAATGCCAATTTATCGCCAATAATAGATAAGAATGATGTCACAATGCACTCATAAAATCTTTGCTTTGGACTGCTGTAAAATGGTGCAACATAAAACAACCACAACACCACTTAGATTCATATTTAAATGAATTTATGTGCTATCAAGTTTGTAAAGCAAGTGACAGTTTTGTTGTTATATCCCATTAGGGCTTTTGACTGATGAAATTTGACATTAAAGAAACATTTGATTTGACTATATGGCTCACAAATGCTCTTCTATTCACAAACACGAAAAAGAAATATTTTATAGGAAGCAAGAAGCCATGGATCTAAGAAAAAATCTGTATGGCCAAAATTTGCATGTTTACAACAGGTGTCTACCATTTGGTGAAATAGCAATTAAATATAAAGCATGTAAATCCATGAGCACTCAAACATGCATGCATTGGATAGTCTCTATGAAGTATATATTCCAAAATACGTTAAACATATGGTAATTCTACTGAATGTTGATATCGCTGGCATGAGTTGTCAGAAAACCAATAATTTCAAAGTCTAAGCTCACAGTTATTTAAGTTTTTACATGCCATCTTTCTAGCTCGTATCTATTGATTACTGAATTCTAATAGTTCAAATCTGCTACTGTCTAAGTAAATAAGGGGCAATCTGTTCCCTCCAATTTCCAACAGAAACAATGGAGCAAATAATTTCGGCAGGATCTCTGCTAAGTTTCATACTTGACATGCTAATATAAAAGTACCTTTTTTTTCTTTATATTTCAAAACCGAGCAACGAACTGCCATTAGCATAAGTTTTCAACCTTTTGAGGTCATATTGAATTTATATCTGTTGAATGAACAGTAATATATAACATGCAAGATTATGAAGCTTGCCAACTTAATATAATATAAGATCAGCATGGTTCTTTGCTGTGGTGGTTGACAGCAGACATATGACTGGAATGGTAAAAAAACTTTGGTGGCTGACAGAAAACGTATTACTGGAAGGGGAAAGAAATGGTGGATGACAGAAGATACATGGCTGGAATGGTAAAAACAATTTGGTGGCTGAGAGTAGACATACGATCATAAACGGTTAAAATTACACAAATTATCATTAACTCGTAAGGATCAGTTTTCTGCAAATATAGCATAAGTTTTCAAAATAAACCAAAGTCTTCACAGCAATTCAGAACACAATGGCACAGGCATAGTACAAAATTTCAGAATTTTCAAACTTTTCAATCTCTGGCTTCACTTGATGTGCAATAAAGTTGTTTCATTGTGAAAATATTTTATTCTTTGTACCAAATATGTATAATATATTTCTAATTCTAATTTTTCCACAGGTTATATGTTTGTATATTTGTAGATGTTGATTATAATCAATGAATTGTTGAACTGCATCTCCATCTGGATGGAATCTACCAGTAAGTGCAGTCCTTCCAGGCCTGCTTTTGCTAGCCAATATTTTTGGACTGTTTACAGGAAGAAGCTAATTTATTGGACTGCTAATTTGTTCTGAAATGTTTTCTGACTCAAGAACTGTAGCTTTTGTTAGCCAATATTTTTGGACTCTTAACTGGAACTCTGTTTTCTGACCCAAAAACTGTAGCTTTTGTTAGGCAATATTTTAGGACTGTCTACCGGAAGAAGCTAATTTATTGAACTGCTAATTTGTTCTGAAATATTTTCTGACTCAAGAAGATTTTAATATCAAAGAAATAAAACAATGCTTGGATCGTATGTATGCTCCTTTCTATTTATATATATCTCCTTTCTGATTTACAGTGAAAGAATGGGAAAAGAATTTGACATAGGCCGAGAATCTGGTGACAATTTTTGTGAAGATAGAATTCAAAGTAGAACAAAGGAGGTATTGACATCAGAAAATATTGCTCATCAATTGGAAATATTGAGTCATAACAGACTACAAGTCAAGGAGACAGCAGCAGATTGGATGTATCTAAAACAATTATGTTGCACATTCTAAATGAAAATATTCTATGATCTAAACCTTTGCATGATGAATACCCCAGCTTCTTTCAGCAATTAAAAAACTGTAGTTTGACCATTCCATTTACAGCCCAAACTTAACTCAAATAATTATTATTGAAACTGAAATCTGACCTTGATGAAAAGAGATTTAATGATGATAACAAAAACAGATTTAATGGTGATGATAACAGCAGTTATGGAATAGTTATGGAATTAGAGGAGAAATGTTCATTGCTTTTTTAAGGCACTGGGTCACTCATTAAATGATGTGAAGAGTGGATCAAGGCACAAGGAGATTATATTTATGAAAAATAAAATATCAAAATTTTCTCTATCTCAGAGAGGTATATCACAGTAGAAACATTTGGATATATAAGCATAAGATTAATGCTAATTACCTACCCTTAAAAATTACAGTTTTTCAGGTATTGGAAAGTGTGAAATAGCTTGTTAAAGCACTTCCCATTTTGTTAATGTTCCAGTTCAATGACATGGCCCTGTAAACAAAGTCCTGATCTTTTTCATTTTGCTCAGATTTCTCCCAAACAAACAACAGCTAATTAACCAGTGATTGCATGAGCTAGAACTGATAACTTACAGTGAATGCATAAGTAATTAGTCAAATCATTACACAGGAGTATATCCTTAGGATGGAATGCCTTTGTTCAAGAAATTAAAGCAAAAATAAAGTTAAGTTAAATGTGGAGAAACCACAGAAGCACTTGTACATTATGCTCTAATACCAGGAATAGGCCAGGGGAAAATCAGATAATTATCTAATTAATAAAATTAGAATATTATAATTATTCATTATTTAATGGATAATGTACACTTTGGAGACCTATGAGAAGAAATATCAACTCTTATTATATACAATAATTTGGAAAATACACAGTATAAATACTAATCTCAAACTATCGTTAAAAATTCCCTTATTTATCCAGTAGCTCAGATTTGCAATGTAAATGTCTATGTTTTTATTTTGATGAAATAATATATACATACTTACTTTCTTTCTTTTCCTGTTTTTTATGACTTTAATTGACTTTTAATTGACTTTTTTATGACTTTAATTGACTTTTAATAGTTTTTATCTGCAGAAATTGGGGTCAAAACTGTATGTACAAATATTATTTCAATAGATATAAGTTGCATTTATAATTATAAAATACACTCTATACCAGGAGTTCTCAACCGGTAGTACGCAAGGGAAAAGTAGTGGTACACAAAGAAGAAAAGTATTTTTAACTATTAAATTCAAAAATTAAAACCCCAACGTCCTAATTGAGTTTTTTCTGTAACAATCGTAAATTTATACGATCTGAGTTGCTAAGATCGTATAAATTTATGATTGTTTGAGTAATTGTACAACTGTACGTATGTTGAAGAGTGGTAGTAGTACATTGTAGTGGTGGTAATATAGGTTTTCAATTTATGTTTAGGTGGTACGCATTAGTCAAAAGGTTGAGAACCGCTGCTATATACCAAAAAATAGATGCACCAAGAAGGAGTTGTCTGATGGAGACAAAAATTCAAGGACAAGAAGATTATGTACAAAATAGAAAATGATTAAAATTTCAGAAAAATTGAATGATTTATTTCAGAGTTACATAGTTACAAAGTAACAAGCTCAGTAAGATGTTGACCTACCTCTAGCCTGGATGCAAGCTGCCACACGGCATAGCACAGACTGATAAAGTTCCTGGATGGTCTTCTGCAGTATTTCTTGCCAAATTTGCTCCAATTTTTGGGCTAAGCCATCAACATTCCCTCGTGGATGCAGTTGCCTTTCCATCATATCCCTGATATGCTCGATTGTAAAGAGATCTGGCTGGCCATGGAAGCGTTTGACAAGCTGTATGACAGTTAATAGCAACACGTGCTGTATGTGGTCTGGTATAATCTTGCTGAAAAATAAGGCTAGAATAATGAAAAAGGAATGGCAGCAAAACAGGTCTCAGAATGTTGTTGACGTACCACTGTGCTGTAAGTGTGCCTATAATGATGACAAAAGGGGTCCAGTTATCAAGGGAAATGGCACCCCAGATCATAACTCCTGGTTAAGGGCCTGTGTAGCATGTAATGCTGAAAACAGGATTGGCACGCTGCTCTGGGTGTCTCCAAACGCGTCTTCGATGATCATCACAACACGGAAGCAGGATTTGTCGCTAAAGACTATACGTCCCTAGTCAGCAACATTCCAACCTGATCGAGCAAGCACCACTGTAATCTAGAGTAGTAGTAGTAAAGTAGAGTGCGTAGGCATGAGTGGCAGGTGGCATAACAGTTGGTACGAGTGTAGATTTCATTCTATCAGCCCTCTGTGAATGGACATGAACACTTGTATGCGGGTTGCACGTCTGATGGTTGATAGTGGATAAATCAGGTGCTGTAACAGCTTATCTGACAATCACTATGTCTTCCCGATCTGTTGTGGCCCTAGGCTGACCGCTACCATCATGATGCTAAAATCTGCCATTGTCCACCTATTTTTGCCAGCGTGTTCTAATCGACGCATTGCTTCGACTCATATGACGAGTGATTCTCCCATTTCCCCAACCTGCCTCTTTCAATCTAATTATATGACCTCTTTCAAACTCTGACAGTTGCTTGTAATGAGCTCAAACCCTGCGGCGAGGCATTTTTTCAGTCATTGAAAGGTATCCTAAATCGCAGTGCAACAGAAATTTTTAACAACAGTTGAAGAACAGCTCCTTATATACATCTGCTGGATGCACAGTTCTGATGCTCTGGAGATTGCACTATTCACTCATTAGACACCAAATTTTAATCATTTGCATATTTGGTCAAAACATTTATGCATGCGAAATTTCAAAGCAATCGGATGATTCCTTCTTGGTGCATCTATTTTTTTAATATAGAGTTATTATGCACATTTTAAGTATTGTTAAGAATTCAAACACCCTTCTTTAATTTCTGCATAAATACTTCAAAATTATTATCAGTAATAAATAAAAAAGGGGAAAAACCTGAAAAAAGTCAAAGATTAACTTACTGATCGATTGACCAGGATATAGTTGAATATTTGGATATCCAGTTAAAATCTTTTTATCCATAGATCTGATTCCCATAATTTCCTCCAAAACAATTCTCTGTTTTTCAGAAGTACTCAATAAATTATTCATATCCATACCTTCCAAGAAAAGATAATTAGTGTACGAGGTTAGAAGATGGTCTACAGTAAACTCCAAAATACAGAAATAAAACAAAGTTATAAAAAATGCATAAAGATATGTCAGTTCATTAACCCCTTTGAGCCGGGCAGCGAAAACGCGTGCTTATCGTGGAGGCCTGCAGTCTCTCCAGGGCCAGGGGCTTTTTTGCTACTAAGCCTAAATCCATGAAATTTCCGAAGTATCAACGCATTGTTTAATAATACTCTATAGAGTATTTAAACGGCTTATGCTTTATAGATATTTTTATATATATACTTTAATTACCTTATTTCTTGTTTAAATGCATATTTTACACATTTTATTTTAATTACTCACCATTTTATGACTTTTAACATTATACAACTGAAAACTAAATATATTACTTAAAATTCTCTTTTCCTATGAAAAATTTGAAAACAGGGATCTACACACAGTCCTACGTTACATTCCTTGAACTCGTAATAACTCATTTGCCGTTTTGGAGGATTTTCCGGGAATGTGAACAAACGAAGCATCATCGTCTCATTTTTTTTATCAGTCTCTTCTGAATAAAGTTTTGGAATCAATATCAGTCTTCATCAATATCATGTCATCAATTTTTCAGAATCAATATCAGTCTTTCAGTTAATCTTCCAGAATCAATATCAGAATATCAGAATATCAAAATTTCAGAATCAATATCTGAAATATTTTGTATCATTTCTGCTATTTCATGCTCTGTTAAAACATTTTCGATGCTTCGACATTGAAACGGTAAAAACAGAAAGAATTCACGTCTAACAAGATCTAATTATTTTCTAAAAACTGAACTGTAAACTGAAATACTCAACGCTTTAGCACATATAAAACTTCTACTTACAATAAAAAACTACCACGTGCGAATAAAGTGCGATTTAAATAGACGTCATAAATCACGCCATTCGGAAAGATTTAGTTCCCCGTTTGTTTATATAATCAAAAACACGTGTATGTGAGTCATGCTTCTCTCATTTCGAGTAGAAGGTCTAATGTACATGCATCTGAAACCATATGGACATACAGTGCCATCTTGTGGCAGAAATTATAGTTTGGAAAACGTTCCAGGGTACTGGCACAAATACGTGACAGTTGGTAGTAAACACAAAAATGCTCTGGCACGCCTGCGTGTCAGCCGGTAGGTAAGTGTGTTCGTTGCTGGCACGTATACGTGACAGTCGGCGAGAAGGGGTTAATGAAAATTAATTGATCTCATTTCTTAAAAAGCACAGTTAATGTTCTAATACTAGTTAGAAGGAGCGTCTAACATCAAGCATAGCTAGTTTTAAAAATAGCGTAATTCTTTAGTACATCAAGTAATTAACGTTCTCTAATGAATTATAATTGTACTTCAAATGACATGAAACATGCTATTAAACATAGGCCAGAACATAAAGAACATATTTACATATGAACATATACATTTCAGCTCATAAAATACACATATCTGCCATTAAATATTCTCAATATGTTTTTCTTTCGACTGTCTTGCCATTACATTATCATAGTAGATTTGAGATACCTGGGTGACGGAGATTCTTTCTGCACACATCCAGTTCATATTATCTACCTACTTATTAAATCCCAATAAAGTTTTGTATACACAAGAAAAATTTCACACTATAATTCCAAATTCCTTAAGTAGCTAAATATTGCTAAATAAAGCATTAAATATTGAAGTAGCTGCATTAATTAGCGGAAGTAAAATAAATATAATTTAGCAGTTCTGCTTATTGACTAGTATGTGGCTATACATGCAATGAAATGTTATGTGCTTAATTAGGAACAATATTATGAATTTTTGAAAAGGTATAATAAAGTATTTACAAAATTATAAATCAATGCATTTAAAACAATACGAGACAAAATTTACTAACTCTAAAAGTATGACAAATTAATTTAAATACAATTGCAATTTTAAGCCATAAAGTATATTATTAGTACTAGAAGTATGCTTGCACAGCATGAGGGAGGAAAGCTAATGAATCTTCTATGGTGTTAAAACGACTACATTATTATTGTTACATTTTGGTACGGCTTCATGGATTTGGAGCGATTGACGACAACACTTGATGAAGTATCAAAACACAATTTATTAGCCGATATTTTTCAGGACAGCTCCTAAACAAGTTTACAGGCATTGAAAAACTACAACAAATGCGTTGAAACAATCAGCAACACAATCTTGAGACTATCAGGCTATAACGGCGCAGACAGCTTCACGGCAAAGCACCAGAGTACAGATCCCGATTTGGTTCGGTCATTCTCGGAATTCTACATACTGTCAATGCTACAAATCACGATGCACTCGATAGCCTCAACAATGCACCAACTTGCGATACTGTCGACGATCAACTCAAATAGACTCGCGATCGACTAAGAGACTCTGATGAGACACTGACTGACTGACTAGGTTAAATTCTCACTTTGTCTTAACTGACTCACTCACTACTATTAATTGACTCTGCATGCAAGCAAGGTTTACAGAGCTTCTGGGCTGCCTTCGAGAAAATTTTGGTCCAAACCGGTAAGAATTCGTTCTAGAAGGTTCTCCATCCGTCTACGGTATATTGCCAATTTTGTTGCCAAATGGGAGGTTTCTCGTCAAATATGGCAACCCTGCCTTTCCTTGCCATTTTCTAGCAACTCTAAACCCGCTTTGTGAGGAAGCTATCTTACTGCAGCTAGACATTCCGTAACAATATGCAGTTTTGTAAGTGATTCTGATATACCAAAAATTGCTTTCAAATGAATATTTTTTGAAAAATGGTGAATAATTCTGAAGAGGAAGAATTCTATGTTTTCTTTTGTCATCACTTTCTAAACAGTTTAGGCACTCTAAAAATGGTTATAAACAGAAGTTATTTAAAATATTTCATATAATGTTTTCCTTTCATGTTCAGAGTTAAACTGATTTAAAATATTACTGTTAATATTTTCTCTTTATTTAAACATCAGAAAAGCAATAAGCCATAAATTTTACAATTTCACTTGCCTTATTTTCAGTTTCCTCCAACTTCTCTTCAAGTAAATGGATTGTCCTTTCACTTTTATATACAAAGAAGAAAGTCTGTGTTTTTTTGCTAATAACTCAGTCACTACTATAGCTATCATCACCAAACTCTCTATAGTTCTTTTCTGGGTCCTGGAAAAGGTCAACACCCACTTTTTTCCAGGCGATATTAATTAAAAACTCTTAAAACTCAAATTTTCGCACTCATTTTTTTGAGTTGCAACAGTGCTGGTATCAGCAACATTGGCAACAGTGATATATCAGCAACAATGGCACGCAGCCATTGTTGCTGATATAATAAGAGAGAATTAGTTTACTTTTCTATAGAAATTTTTATGTGGGTTCTATATCACTCAGAATAATTCATTTTGCTCAAAATAATGATGTATTTGTTCTTATTTTTGATGACCCAAATGGCAATTCCATATAGCATATGAGTATGTATACCATATGATTCTATGATTATGTAGTCAGTTGTGGTACATGTATTGAATATTACTTTGTTTCCATGGCATTTTTTATGAATTACAATAAATCATCATATTCCTTATAACGTGTATTCAAATGATGTTATGAATAAAATAATACATTACTGTCAATCTAACTTAACTGGCATTGGGTACTTCTAGTATGATCTAATTTGTACCAAAAACATTTCCATTCACAAATAACTCACTAGATACCCTCAGAGGAAGGGATGCTTTCATAGATGAAGTTTTAAGAGGAACTAGATCATATCCAAGTTCAGTTAGACCATTTACCAAGATATGAACCTAGGTTGAACTACCAGTGTTAGCCATTCAACTACTGGTGAACTCGCAAAATGTGAGAAAGGGGGGATTGGGAGCTATGGCATTCTGATAAACTGCCAATATATATGCATATCTGAAGAAGCATAATAAAGCTAAAAGGCAACTACCTGGTAGCCTAGCCCTCTGATACCATCACACCATAATCAGGATTTTGGGGGTCAAGTTTTGTGTGGCAGACTAGTATGCCACACCGAAAGCTCATCAGTTGGGAAGTACTGCCATTAAAAAAATAACTGCTTTTTATTTATTGCTTTCAAAGTCAAACAGCAGTTACAGAAATGACATTTATCATTATTTGAATGATACTTTTGACAACTAATAGCCCAGCGGCACTAAGTATTCTTCCAAGCAGCACTCAAAGCTGTCCACTACTCATTGTAACATATTGTCAGGGATAGTGGTGATGGCACTAATGGTTGCTGAATATAGCTGTAGACTACTGACGGTTCCATTAAGATGGGTTGATCAAATACACAGCCAATGTGTTCACAGAATTTTGGTGACAGCCATTTCCATACAGATTAATTGCTTTATGATATCATTCTTTGAAAATCCTAATGCTCAAAATAACACATACCCATTATTTTATAATTTTCTGATTACCCACACCCAACCCGAAAGGTCACAAACTTATTGGTGGCTTTATAGAGTACTCACGAACTCACTGGCTACTCATTTTTAGATAAGCTAATGACAGAAAGGCAATGGTCATTTTCAAAATAGTACCATGCTACGAATTCTACATAAGAGCAACCAATCAATAAAATTTAAAAAGCAGAAAAACATCAGTAATGAAACATTTATTTTTTAAATGAAATTCTACATTTTGTGCTATTGTTGTCTCCATTTACACCACGATCTGAGGCTCTGTAGAACTTTCACCTAGTACACTGGTCAAAACAGACATGTGATCTACCTCAGATGCCCCATAAATACTTTTTGGTGATATTGTGAGTTACCCCATAACTATTTATGACATATACTGCTTTGCTTCATGAATATTTGGGGGGGGGTATGGATAATCAGAAAGTACCAATATTTCTTTTACAGGTATCTAAAGCAAGAAGTTTTCTAAACACGTTCACCACAAAATTCAAAATGAAAGACCACATCACAGCTGACATCATCAATATTCCAAGCAATATATAATGGCAAGTAATGGGCAGCTTTCAACATTGCTTTTAAGAATGTGCAGTGAATGATAGTATTTGTTCATAAAGTATTTGTTATTAATTTAATATTTAAGTTTTAATATTAAATTAATATATTAAAACTTAATATTTAAGTTTTAATAATAATTTAATATTTAAGTTTTAATATTTTGGCAACATTGATGTTTTCTTAAATTGTAAAAGAATGAGTTAAAACATGTATCTGGCATCTAGAGAGAGTTTGTTATGGTTTTGTAGGATGCAGTAAGGTATCTTATGACTAATTTTATTTAACATTCTTTTTATATATTACTACTATAATGTGTTTTTAGTATAAGTAGATAATTTTAAAAGAATATCATTTATATGCCAATCCCAAACCAACAATGAAGAGAAGCCATTATTTGAAAGCACTCATGTTCAAACACTGACTTTATAGGCTTTATAGGAGTACCTAATGGTACTCCTGTAATTGTTTTCTGATGTACAGAACAACAAACAAAATGCAGTTGTTTGCTTTTGGTATGATTTTATTAACATCAAACGTTACATTACACAATTAGGGGAGCTTGACTACTAGCCCAAAACCAAGAGATGTGAATCCAATTTTATGTAAGGCTTATTTGTATATGTCTTTTCCCTTTTCTTAATGGTACAATACCAGTCTATCTCTTGTGGTGCATGCCAGGTGCCCTGCTTAGTGATAAGATGACTACCCTGACTAATGAATGACTGATGCATTCAGACATTTGTATTGAATGTTTTCGAGCAAGTGTACAGCAATTAAGACAATATATGTATTTCTGTCAAATCCTATATATACTATTATTTTGATATTTAGTAGAAATCTGGCCACATAATTTATAAATGATGATAGTGTCATTTATATGTAATATCATATATCAGAGGAAATAAATGAATAATATGAAAATTCACTGGTATTGATGAACACCAGAGATAAATTTCCTTTCTTAATACCTTCATATAGAATCTCTGAATTTTTGGACTATTTTACAAAATAGTATAAATTCTAGATTTTGGAATATTTTCATTATTGGCATACAGGATTAGTAAGTTTTCTTGTAGGTTAATCTGCTATAGACTCTGCTTGCAAAAGATGTCTCCACCCTTCAACTCAAGATGAGTTTGAAAAATAGGGATGATTCTCTACACTAAAACAAAATTATACTATTTAAAATAAGCTGCTATGGATAATAAATAAAAAGTGACAAATTATGAACTCTTTATTACCAGAAACAAGTTTCTTACTAAATTTGACAGTTTAAAATTTTAAAAAGCTTCAAAACAGTGCTGCATCATCACATTTAGTTAAATTTATATATCTTTAATCACACAACTTATTCTAATTTTGCAGCTGGGTTTTTTAAACATTTTGAACTAAATGAGGGGCATTGTTCGCAACTTTCGTACATTTTCATGCAATTCATGAAATTTTCATTCATGCAAATAATTTCAGTTTTACACAAAATGGGATAGGCTGACAATATGTTTAGCCCACATATTTGTTTCATATGTTTTTTTTTTAACCTTTCAGATTATGCATTGGAAAATCCACTAACCCAACCTAACCCCGACTTAAAGGTTCATTAAAAACACTTCTTTAATGTACCATCAAATTTTCAATCTTTACTTTAAGGCTTGTATCTAAGTGTAAATAATTGAAAGTCATCAAATTATACATGCTTTACTCAAATTAATGATTCCTTATTAGTTACAATGCATTTACACAAAAGCAGTTTGTAGTCACAGTTGCCCTACACTTTATACAAAACTGCAATTTTTCACTGTTCTCAAAATGTCCTACATAATTTGTGCTTTTATTCAACTTAATTAATAAAGCAGTTGTAAAAGATATCAGTAGTTTGATCATTTTGTCATTGTACCTCATGAGTAGTATGGATTAAATTCGTAAACAGAGTACTAATCATCATATGAAACATATATTGCTTTCAGACAAGAAATCTACAGTATAAAGGAACTTCTTATCACAAGATGATTTTCCGAAATTCACTGAATTCTGGCTGCTTTGGTAAAACCTTAAAATTTCTTCTTGCTTTAGCATCATTAAGTTAAATCATACTGATAGAAAGTCTACATATCTTCTCCTATAAACTGTCATAAATGTGTGGAGAAATATCGACTAAAAACAAATATAATACAAACCATAATTAATAAATAAAATACTTAAAATGTTTATTACTTTAAATTTCCATTTTGAGGATCAACCATTTAAGCACCTAAGAAATACTATTTTTAATTTCTGGAAAAGCATAAAAATTACTGCATCACAAAATACTGTTACATTTTACAAATTTTATTTGCTTGTGCAGTTGATTTTTTAATCGCTGCACACTTTTAGATAAGAAGATTATTATACTTGTGCTTGTATGTATGTATTGTATATTTAAAAAATATCCAGACTCATCTTCTTCAGACGTAAACTGATCTTCTTCATTGGACAGATAGCATCATGGTATTTTTTTTAAAGGAAACCTGTTAAGTATTTACATTACAATGGGGGAAAACTAATGAAAATTACATGTTGCTGACTCATCTATCTATACATGTTGTTGACTCATTTATCTACCAGTATTGTATGACTTTAGCCATTCAAGTATACCTGATTACTAGGAGTAACTCGTAAGAACACTGCTTAGTGAATTGGCATGTGAGATTTAAAGAAGCTAATCAAAATTAAAATTTCTAGATAACTATACATCAAATTTATATTAAACTAAATGCACTGTTTAATAAACTCAGCCACTTATTACATTTAAATTTCCAAGAACCAAAACAAATACATGCAAACAATAGAAAAACTGCCATTTATTAAACTCAGGTTGGCGAAAGACTGTTTCTTTAATACTAGAGTATTTTACTTATACCTATCAAAGCTTTTAGTTCATCCATTTAATATAGTGTGGACTGTGGCTTTATCATTCAGGTATGCAATGCTTCAACAAAATGGGCCTGATTGAAATTTTCCTACCCCCAGTTCCTGTACTTGCAAGACACTGTTTTAAGATTTCTTTGCCCATATGGGATATGGGATTTTTGAGGAGCAGAATTTCCATACCTTAAGGTTAACAAAAACAGTCTCACAGAAATGTTGTAAATGAGTGAGGGTTCCTTTTTGAATACCAACTGATAGAAGGTGGAAGTACAGCTTCTGTATTCTATCTTTTAAAGATTTTCACCTTCAAAATCATCTCTTTGATACAGGTAACTGGTAACTGCAGAAGGAAAAAAAAATGGTCATGCTTTTAATTATGAAGTGGCAGAAGGACTAAGCAAACAAAGGGCAATATTTATGCTGACTAGAAAAGTAAATTTTGAAGTTTGAATTGATCATTGGAAGAAACATTTTTTAAACTGCTGCATGCTTAACTTGTAACACGTCAAAATGTCAAGTGAAAAGACTTTAGCTACAAATTCTAACATTCATCCTTTAATTTTAGGGTATTATAAAAGCTTTTAAATGCCATTACAAAAAAGATGTTCAGTAAATGATAAACATAACTGAATTTTCTGAGGATGCAAGCACTTTGAAAGAGATAAGCAAGCTTATATTTTTGCTAGAAGCCCTGCACATTATAGCGAATGCAGGGGTTAATCTCTTAAAAATCTGTTAAAAACCTGTTTTTGAAACTATGGCTTTTATGTGGAAGAAGCCTTAGAGAGATTGCAAACTATAGCTAATGTTTCAGATATAAGTGAGGTTTCAGATATATGATGATTCACTTTTAGAATAGGTATCAGTTCATAACAATATTGAGATAACATACATGAAAACTAACGATAAATGTGTTTAAAGAGCAGCAGAAACTGACAACAAAAGTGATACAGAAAAAAAAAAGGCGATGATGTGCTTTCATCCATCAAATCTTGAAATCAAAGAAAATTTCTTGAACTGAAAGGTGCTGATCAAAAAAGCTATCAGCAATTTTACAAAATTGAGACGAACAACATGAAACAAACACAAATAGAATAGTTGTCTGTAAGAGATAAAAATTTATTCAAAAAATTAATTATATTTTTATAAAAATTTTAAATGAATATGAAATTTGTATAAATAGCTTAGTTTTAGCATTAATTTTTATTAGTATTTTAAGATTACTTAATAAATTAATTGTGAATTATTATTGTACTTGAAAAGGTTAAAAACTGATATCTCGGTTTGCAGAACATATAATGCCATTTATTAAACTCAGCCACTTAATAAACCCAATTATGTTCAAAACAGAAGTGATTTTATCGGGGGCAGGTACAGTAATTACCTTAGAAGCTATGCAAAAAGTTTGCATTAACTCACTGAAATAAAAAGAATGAGCAATGTTTATATTTTCTCCCTTATATAAAATATAAAGCACTTAAAAATTAAATACCTGGTTTGAGAAACAAGTCAAGGCTACTAAAAATAAACTCCCTGATATTTCCATTTTTATCCTCTTTAGTAATTTCTAAAACTTCAGCCGCTTCCAGTAATCTGATCTCATTTGCACCAATTTCAACAATATTTCCCTAAAATCAATTGTAAAAAGGTGAAAAGTGATTTATTAGTTGAAACATAAATGCTTAAATCTAAAATTTAAAAAAAAAAAAATTATAAACACATCAAAAGAAAATTTAGAAGACAAATGATGTAATGCACTGATCTCATAACTATCCTAGTGACAGAATGCAAAACATGTTAACTAATTACAAAAAACACTTCAGGGATGCATTTACTTATACTATACATGGGGAAAACACGAAAAATCATGCCAGCCCAATCATCAGAAGCAAAATCCAGGCTGAACTACCAGCCTTCAGTCATTTTAGCCAATCAGCCACTGATTGACCTGCACGTAATGATAAGCTTTTTGCCATGTAAGAAGCACAAATGCAAACTGTCGGCAATATAATAAAGCAGTACTGTACGTAGAATTAGTTTTGCATTAAATGTGCATGCAAATGTGTGTGTGTGTGATCATGGCAAAGCCTCAAGAGCTATCTGCCTAAAGGGAGGGATGCCTTCATGGAAGACTTTCTAAGGGAAACTGGCTCGTATACACGTTACACATGGGGAAAACCACAAAAACACCCATGCAGCCAGCCCGTTTGCAGGATTCAAACCTCGGACCGAACTACCAGAGTTCAGCGACTTTACCGCTCGGCCGCTGGTTGGCCACATGCAAATGATTATTACTTTTTTCCAGATAAATGTGGTTGGTAGCAGGATTCATTTTAAGCCATGATTTATTGAGATTACAGCATAGCACACTAAGGCTATCTGGCAAAGGGTAAGGACATCAGGGAAACTGGCTAGTATACATGTAAACACATGGGGAAAACCAAGAAAACACCCATTCAGCCAGCCCGTTTGCCTGGAATCGAACCCAAGTCAGAACTAAAAGTATTCAGTGACTTTTACTACTCAGCCGACGGTGGGCCCGCATTCATTTTAAATTCATTAACAAAAGGGTAACATGGTGCATATAAAGGAAACATTAAAAACGGCAATGAAAGTCTGATGCCAATGTCCATGTATCTAATGGCAAGGCTGGTTAACCTGCTTTTGTATTAAAAGGTTAATACAGCACACATAAAAAAGGCCAAGCAGACAAGATGCAGCCCTTATAAACTTAATTTACCCTATCTTATTGACACTAGTGATTTAGAATGTCGTTGCCATAATGTTTAAGTATAAATGCTATTTTTATTTCATGATTTTTTTATTCTGTGTAATTTAAAACTTTTATTTTGTGATTCACATTTGCCCAATAAGTTTAAAGCATGAATAGCATTTGTGCTATTAGGCAGTAAATCACATATTTGCTTTCAAATTTATTCTAAAAACAGTCATTACTGAATATTTCTGAAATTTCTATAATATTTAATAGTTCTGTCTGCACTCTTAACTTCATAACCAGACTTCATCTACCGTTCAAAAACTACCGGCTTCAGTGGGGAATCCTAGATGGCATGAGTTGCGTTTAAGCATATATTTGCTGAAATTTATAATATTTTGTATCCCTTATTTTATAACAAAAAGTATATTATGTCTAAAATAACATTGGTAAATATGAAAACAAATGTATCTTTAGTTTGGATTATTTTCAAGACTTCTTGAGAAAAGGAATTGTTTGACAAAACTTGCAGAAAACACTACACATCATAAAGCAACTTTGTGCTTTGAAATTTTTTTACTGTCATAACACTTTCAGAAAAAATATGCTTTTTCTATGTTTAAAATGTAATTAAGTCAAGGATAGATGCCCCAAAAGTGGAAGGGAAACTAAACATATACGGGAAGGTTATTATGTTTATTAATTATTAGATTATTAAGTTGTGAAAACACATAATGGAAAAGGTATAATTTTCATGACATAGAAAGTTTCCAATTACATGTATTATCCTCCTAAATAGCTCATGGCTTGGCTTTAAAATCCCAAATTTTCCAAAGAAACCATGAGACAGAGATATTTCCTTAATTATAATTATAAAATGCTACTGCCGCTAAATATGGTTTTTTCCTTCCCCCATTTTTTCTGATATACTTAGCATCTTAATTGTTTTTAATTCTTAGTATCTTAGTATTATATTTCAAGATACCTAGATATGTATTTACTTAAGTGTGTATGCTGTTCAATGTATTCATGTAATCTGGCTAGCAAGAAAATTAAATAAATAACTGTATGATTAGAATTGTAATGATTTCTTACAGTCTGTCAAAATTTTCCTCTCTTTGCTCAGAGTCAACTGGCAGGACGTCAGCTTCAAGAAAACCCAAAAAGAAAAAAGAAAGAGGGGAAGGACATTACTAAAGAGCAGTGATAGAAACAGACAGTTGGAATAGGGATTTCTTTTGGTGAAATTATCCTTATTCAATAAATATATTGTCAGGTTAAAGTGAGTCATTTATTGATGAAACGGAAGTGTTGCACTTTTATTGCACGAAGCTGGGTACCAGAAAGAAAGAAAAAAAAAAAAAAAAAAAAAAAAAATCCAGGCAAGGAGTTGAGGAATAGAAAGACCTATAAAATGGCAATTTCTTTTCAAATTATGATATTACATGCCAACAGAAGGAAGATCTGACATATTCAGGATAAAAAAAAAAAAATAAGCAATATTAATTTGCAATGCATGCAGTTCATCATTGCTTATCTTGCAAGTAGTTATGTAACCTATATTACATATGAATGTTCCAATAGAATACATAAATATTTAAGGAATTTTCTCAGCAGGAAAGTACAGACCTCTGATTTTTCAATTTTAAATTGTAAAGTTTATCCTAAGTTCTTAACAGTTATTAAGTTAAAGCTACTTTCCTGTCCACCCTATTTTCAGCTTACAATTTCCTACCAGAATGTGTTTTTAGATTCATGTTTAAAAGAGTAGTATTTAAGTCGAAGTTCCACTGACTTCGAGAGAGAGCCTCAGAGTTTCTGACTAGCGCAAGTTTACCTTTTGGCTACGACTCTCTAAGTTGTTACTACGCTCGGCCATATTACAGGCCCTTGATAGCTTCGCTAGCTTATTCGATAATTAGGGGCCAACTACTTAGAATTTTGATAGTTTCAGCTAAAACGCTTTAGTTAAGCATTATTTCTTATTATTCTAAGTTCAAGCCCAAGTGGTGGCTTTGCTGTTCGCCCTGAGAAAGGGAACATCTGTTAAACTCTTATTTTGAGCAATAAAGGGTAATTAACCCTTCTCAAGTTTATGTGTCTGTTCCTGAACTAAAGCAATTATTCTCTTAACTGTTCATTAGGTTCCTCCACATTTAGCTGTTAGATAAAAGGGTTGAACCCCACAAAATATATGAGAGACACATAAAATATTTTTGCACTGTTCTTAATAAACAAACATTCCAAAATAAATTTAATAAAAGTAAAACTAATATATAATGACTAGAGAGAAAATGTGTCCTACTGCATAAGTCTAGTGGGTCAATAATGTCCCATTCTATAAATCCTAAACTGCTACATTAACCTCTTCGTCGTTCGTAACACATCTAGCATGTTCAAGTGAAACTTCTGCAGGGCGGCGGTAATGCGCTTCAAGCGTTCTTCTACATTTTAAAACTTTTAAATGTTTAAAAGCTTTCTAAATGTTTACTTGTTTGAATTTTTATCTTTGTTTGTTTCTAATACCTCCTAGAGGGCAGTATTAATCAGGCATTCTATTTCTAATTGAATTTCCTCCCGGGTTTTATGAATATTCACGCCATTTTACATAAGATACAAGACAGTGAGAAATCTTCAACGTCTGTTCAGCAGAAAAAGAGAAAAAATGAGGTTGTGAATTGGAAAGACAAGAAGGATATACGTTTGATGAGTACAGTCCATAATAACTCTACGATTAAAGTTGAAACACAGAAAAGAATTTAAAAAAAAAAAAAAAAATTATTGTAAGAGATTACAACAAAATGGGAGGAGTGGATCGCCTGGATCAGATGTTACCAAATTAATCCTCCTGTTAGAAATAATCAGAGATATTCTTCTTCTTCTATTATGCTTTATTTCCTTATAATTTTACTTAATATTCATTTACATTCATCCGCTATGAAAGTTATGCATGGAAAGTTATGTATGTACAGAGAAAACAACATTACACGCTGCAAAATGCAAAGGGCTGCTGGGGAAAAATTTTCGCGGACTGGAGAGGATGGTGAAAGGGTTAAAAAATCCAAAACCAAAACCCTTCTAATAGTACATAAATCCCATAGGTCTCACAAGTAGTCAAATTGTCAGCTAGTTAAAAGCAGTTTGATGCAAGTTAGAATCTAGGTGAACAAGCTACAGAAAAATCTCTATGTAGGCATCCCTCTCCTTAGGCAGATAGTTCTTGTGTGCTTTGCTATATTCATATAACCTAATTTAACCTCAATCTCATAATTTAAAAATTGTTAACACAAAAGTCAATACATCTTGAAAATGTTAAAATTTTATCAACAAAATGTAACATCAAAAATATACAACTGATCATTAAGGGAGATAAACTGCTACCTTTTGTGCTAATTTTTAGAATATAATTCTTAAATGTTTTTAAATATTTTATCTTCTATAAAACCAAAGTTTAGAAAACGTAATGCTGTACAGAACTATTGATTAACCTAAAAGAAAAATTACGCAATTTAAACCAGAAAAAGAAGAATTAATAAAAACAAATTAAGGAAAGCACAGTAAAATAATTAAAGTACTTGTACATTAACTAGCACCTGCTGACATAACACTATCAATTTACTGTCAATTTTTGGCAATGAAACATGTTTTGAAAGTCAACAGATTAATAAAACCAGTCCTATTTATTTATTTTTTATATCCAATATGTATCATTTAACAATCGCATCTATTAGCTGTTCTCTGCATGTTATCTCTATCTCCATATGAACTCAGCTAAATAGAAAGGTAAGTGACTTCTCTTGAGCTACTTCCCAATTCTTCATCTAACACGCTGTCAGCTGTTGTTGGCATTATATTTTCATCGCATATCTTCCATTATCTACAGTTTCATTGAACAAAAACTGGAACCTTCATGATTTTTCAGCAAGATAATATAAGGCTGGAAATAATGGGATGCTTCTACTTTATTTCTTTGCAAATCTAGAAAATGCATGATGTAAAATGCAGCAAACATTCCAGAAGATTAATAAACATTGCTGCAAGAAGTTTTCAGGGGAAAGGAGTTATCAGAAAATGATGAAGTACAGATATATGCTCTTTGGAATTGGTCTAAAGCTCAAACTCAAATAAAGAAAAAAGGGGAAGGCATCTCCCCTCTTCCTCAGTCCCAAGTATTTTTTCCAGTCAGTGGACTGTTCCTCTATAGTCTTCACACAAGTTTTCACAATGCTAAAAATTTCATTTAGAAAACGAATTTGATATACTAGTTGCATAATATCGTTATCTTTGATGATATACATTCAATAACCATAACATTTGATTTATTATATTTAACTGTCTACACAAATATAACCTTTTTCATAATTACTATAAAACATTTAAATGACCCTCAAGTACACATTTTTACCATTAATAATGCATTTTTATATAAGACAATTTAATGATGAAACCAGGGGTGTGGATAATCGGAAAGTACCAAGGAAGATAATGATAAAAAGTATATAAAGTGATATAAAAACATTATTTTTTACATTTTCCAAGCAGGTATTTTTAAGTAGTTTGATTTAAAATCTCAGAATGTTGTAAATTGAATTTCTTTTGGAAATTTACAGCCAGCCAATATTTCCTGATAAGTTACAGAACTTTATTCTAAAATTTCTCTAATGCCAAATCATATGGCATTCATTTAGTGCTCTTTTATATCATTATTTATATCATTATATCTTTTATATCATCACCATGATCAGAATATTCTGGCCCTAAATTTGGATCAATGATTTCATCATCAGTTATTTCCTAATGGTGGATAAGATAAGCTTATTCTAATTTTTTATTTAATCCACAGTGTCATCATCTTGAGATACTTGCTCATTTTTCAGCTTTTCTTTACATTATGAAGCAATTCTTTAGCTTTGGCCTTTATTGGATTCAATAAAAATCCAGAAGTCACCACAATCATAATCTGTTTCAATAACACATGGATGTGGACACAAGTTATGTCAACCATTTAGCACAGTGGTATTGAGAAGCTTTGATTCGAAAGTTTTGTAATCTTATTAACTGCAATAAGTCAACTACTAATTAAAAAAGTGAAGATTAACTAACCTCTCTAAAATAAGGAGTACTTTTTGATTATCCACACCTCACTGGAAGATCACGAATAAAGATGAAGCAGTATGTTGCCAAAATATTTTATTGGGACAGCATCACGAAAAAGTATTTATGTAGGAACCCAGGTTTGTGCAAAACATATCATCTGTTAAGTGATGCACAACACTATGATGCTGAGTTTGTGTATTATCTGATTTTTTTTTACAGAAAAATAGATCAATGTACACATGGAGAGAACATCAATGAAAAAAATAAATAAATAAAAATAAAAAAAAAAAAAAAAAAAGATTTTCTTGAAAAAGGTAATTGTTTCATTATTAATGTTTCTTGTTTTTTCAAATTTTATTGATTGACTGCTCCTATATGGAATTCTTAGTATTCCACCATTTTGAAAATGGCTGTTGTCTTTCATGCATTAGTTTGCTGAAACATTGGTGTTGCCTCTGGCACAGCCAAAAAATTAAATGGATAATAATTAGTGACTTTTCAGTAGTGGAGAAAGGGTGGATAATCAGAATGTATCAAAAAAAGTTAAGTTCGTTTAATATGGAATGACAGAAAAATTATTGTGACAAAGCATCAGCATAAACCAAATTTTCTATAGTTAATATAGAAAGGATAAAAAAGTGTTCAGGATAGCAGTAGTGATAGTAGATGTTATTTGCACTCTGCCAAAAACGAAAAAGTTCTAGCTAACTTTTCTATGCGAGTTTCATCTCAATGACAATGTTCAAGTTGTCCTGCAAATATTGTTCTTTACTACTTTTTATAAATTCATGTCTTCATCCAATAATGTTTATCCCTTAACTATTTCTAGAATTTTTTGTTTTGTTATGAATAGCAATTTAATTTATGTAATCAAATCAACTTATTCTCCAGGTTAAACTGCTTGTAAATATAGATAAACTGTTAACATTAATTTTCTGTCAATTATTATATGAGTCATTTCATATAATAATTAGCCATATAATGAAGGTTATGGCATATAGTTAAGGCAAAGCAATACATAATTGATTCTTTGATTCATAAATACTGAATATCCCATTAACAGAAATGTCTAGTCATCAAGGCTCTTGACATCATTGCTTAATGTCAAAAGCCTGTTTTGACATTAAGCAATTCATACAGCATATGTAGTATATGCTATGGCACACCTTAATATTGAAAGAAAGAATATTTAACCCTTTTGTGATGGGCATCTTAGTTATCAAACTCTCTCTTGGGACGACATGCTAATCAGATGCACTGTCTTATTGTGATGAGCAATTTATTGTGATTGTCTCACTTCAGAAAAAAATTTCCACAAATTTTGCTCCAATTTTTTGGCATATTATCAGAGAAGCACTCTAGTAATTCTCAGAATTTTAAAACTTTACCATTATATTTTCTTTGCCATTTGAAATATGAAAAATGTTTTGCTAAATGATACACAAAATATTCACAATCCAAACTCTAAAAGGAATGAATGAAACTTTTAAAATATCAGGACATATATATATATATATATATACCGTTACTGAAAAAATAATAAAAATAAGTATTCAGAAGCATTAAATGATACAGTTAATGGCCAGCTCTGTTATTTTTTTCAGCCCATGTTTCCATTTTGATTCCAAAACATAACACCAAAAATAAGGGCTATAACTAGAGGCATAAAGAGATCTAATTAAAAATTATATCTAAAAATTCATATGTGGTATACCCATACTAAGAGTCAATTTAAATGGTGATTCATATATGACACACGTGGATGTGAGATTCAGTTGGCGG